GTTTCAGGTGAAGATACCCCAAAAGACTTTTCAGCAACTTAATTTCCTTTTCTACATAAACAGTTCCCGTCGGTGAGAGAACACTGTAAGAAATTTATGAAGGGGAGGATACAGCATAGAATCATTGGACATTTTCAAAATGTAACTTCTGATTGTGTCTAAGTACAAAATGAGCCTGGAGATGCCGGGGATCGAACCCGGGGCCTCATACATGCGAAGCATGCGCTCTACCACTGAGCTACATCCCCTACCCTGTGAGCAGGCTCTTTGTTGTTCTCCCCAACTTTTAAAATTTGATTTTTCCCCTCAGCAATTCCAGGATTTTCTAAATGTTAAAGTTAAATTATTCTTCATTTATTCATAAAAACCTTGAAATGGTTGATGACACAACATTTATCAGTATTCCAAGGAAGCCTCGCAGTCCTAGGACTTTCGTCAGCTTTTAACCTAGACACACAGGGATAGAGCGAAGTGCCTGAAATCTGACCAGGAAAAGGAGAGGACTCTCCCCTAAAAGCTGACTTCTTTTCTTTAATCTTTTGTCCAAAGACAGCTGAGGTCCAGCACGAAATCAAACCGTTTCCTCTGTCCCCTTTTCGGTGTCCAAAGTGCCTTGGAAAAAGCCCAGGATATACGCTGTAATAGATGCATACACAGTGCGTATAAATACATACGGGACTGCACAGAACTCAGTGCATCAGGAACTGCAGCTCCTGGGCATCCCGGAGAAATAGCCCAAATATTCCACCCTTAGGCCCCAGCAGAGAGCTTTCAAAGGGAAGCCGATCCGATGCTGTGCTTTAGCGGGTCGATTAAATCACTTTTTCCAAGGCACTTTGGACACCGAAAAGGGGGCAGAGGAAACGGTTTGATTTCGAGCTGGGCCTCAGCTGTCTTTGGACAAAAGAATAAAGAAAAGAAGTCAGCTTTTAGGGGAGAGCCCTCTCCTTTTCCTGGTCAGATTTCATATATATATGTAAATATAGAATTTGGGGGCATCAGCATTAATGTAATAGGGTTGACTTCTGTCTTAAAGAAAATCTTCGTTGTAGCTGAGTTTCTGTCTTTAATAGTATTAAGAAGCATTTTCAGATCGACTAGCTCTGAACAGGAATCACAGATAAAAATTCTAAAATGACTTTCTTCTTCGATTTTAGACGTCTGTTAAATATAGTTGTTTTGAGGAGTTGTCTCGCAAGAGCCCGGATAGCTCAGTCGGTAGAGCATCAGACTTTTAATCTGAGGGTCCAGGGTTCAAGTCCCTGTTCGGGCGTCTCCGTTTTTCTCGCCTGTTTATGCAATTTTGTTCCAGTAAATAGTAACAGGTAGGAAAGCCTTCACAAATCACAGGTTGATGTCGCTGAAAAGTGAGAGGGAATCCTGAGCACGGTATCGAAATCTTAAGCTCGGGCCTGTTCGGAAAATACGTATTTGTTGCTTCTCACGTTGGCCTTTTATTTTTGGGTGAACGTATCTGAATTAGTGGGTTGAATTATAATTTATCTTTGTCTCAACTCAGTACTTCATGTGATGAACTCCATCTGGTCACCTAAAGGAAATTTGAACAGGCGCAAAAAAAGTAAGAATAAAATTACCAATATCGGCATGGGGGGGGGGGGAGGCTTTCCATGTCCTAGGCACTGTATTAAGCATTTTTTCTGGGTTTTATTTGGGGACTGGTGAACTTGGATGATAAAAGAAAAATCTTTAAAATCTCTAACCTTTAACTGAAATTGAGCATATTCTTCATGTATGAATGTAAGCAACAAATTACAGTCGGAAGAGAAGTAGCTGTGGCTTTGTCGCCAAGAGAAATCGCAGGTATTTTCATGTCACAATACAGTTGTTACCAGTATCTCCTGCTTCAGTATCTGAAGACACAGCTGTCGAGAGGGGTCTTCCTATTTAATGTATATTTAATGCCTTGCATTAACGAGGAAGCACGCATGTGACCATTGCAAATCATTTCAACGGTGTGGAAACTATTTCGTAGTATAATTGTTTTCCTTGTTACCTATGTTTCGGGTTTTGGGGGCTTTTAACACCAAAATCTGGAGAAGGGCCCCAGGGCCTCCGTCAGCACCTAAGGGGGAGGCAGCCCCGGCCGAGCCTGGGCGGACCCCCGGTGCTGGCCGTCCCCTTCCGCCCGGACTTCCCTCCAGGAGCCGAGACCGAAGCCCCAGCCCGGTCTGCGCGGGGCCGAGCGGCAGCGCGGGGGGAACTTCCCGCTCACACCTCCCGGCCGCCGGGGAACCACCGCGCCGTCCCGCTTGGCCTTTGGGCGGGGCCACCGAGAGGCGGCCCTCCGAGCGGCCTAGAGGGGACCCGGAAGTGAGTCCGCTGTGCGGACGTGTCCCCAGGAAGTTCCGGTAGGGCTTCCGTCCGTCATTCCTGTGATTCGGCCGGGAGCCATGGAGGGTCCTGGCGAGGAGCGGTGTTTCCTGTGCGTGGTCGCTGGGACCACAGTTGAGACTGTGTCCCTCCGTCTTCCCAGCCCCCGCCGGACCAGTGCCTCCGTTGTTGAGATTATTGTTACATGTGATTTTTGTTACACGTGATTATTGATACATGTGATTATTGATACATGTGATTATTGATACATGTGATTATTGATACATGTGATTATTGATACATGTGATTATTGACAACTCTGGGCCTCTCAGGCTGTCTCAAGCCAGACACAAATTCCCAAATGTTTATGAACTAGGGCGTTAGTGTATGACTTTTCAGATAGGCATGTAAGTGCCCAATGCATCGGAAAAATGGTTTAAAGGCGGATATACGTTTTCTTAACTTGCCCTTTCCCACTTCAGGGATGTTTCTGTCTAAAAAATTGGCGTCCTTGAACAGAAACAGTGTTCCTCCTAGTTTTATGTTGTTGAAGACGTACTGGCGCTCTGAGTTCCAAGACCACTTTCTCCTGCAATTTATTGTCCTTTCATCACTACCCTTCCTTATTGGAAATTACAACTGCTTGGCTTGCAGAATATTTTCATTCCTTGCATTTAAAGTGAAATGGGGATAGTAATATTGAATTCATAGTCATGGAATAAAATTATGCTTATAAATCATTGGGCAGACACAGTCCTTGGCAAACAATAAACAAATTTCCACTTCAAATTCACCCTTTTGCTTTTACAAAGCAAATTCACCTTTTGCAAAGAAAAATTCACCCTTTGCAAAGCAAATTTTTCCACTAAAATAATTTCAAAAGCTTTGTAACAAAAATCTTATGCAAAGTTGTTGTTTAAATTAAATATTTTATTGCATGAATATAGTAATAAACATAAAATACTTTTTAAATGTCAGAAATACTTATAATTTCCTTATAGTGGATTTCCCACCCACTTGTGGCAATTGCATGTACATATTCATAAATTGTGACAATCCTCAGGCATAATAGTCGCTACAGAATGATTAATAACATTTGTTAAACATTTATGGTTTGAAGGATCTGCCAAAATATTTGTGCAGAACTTAACCTTTGAAAAGACTTCTTCAGTGGGCCTCATCACTGGAGAATATGGTTGCAGGAATAGTAAGGAATGCCTCGTCTCACCAACGAGATCACGTACTTCCTGGGTTTGTGGAGGCTTACATTGTCCAAGACCAACCACACATTCTCCAAGTGATCTTCATCCAATTTCCACAGTAATCTTCGGAGAAATTAGCAAAAAGAAATATTTGAAGTAACTGAGGATTTGCAAAAGGGTGAATTTGAAGTGGGAGACCTGTATTTAACTGGTCTTCCTCCTTTAACTCTTCCCCCCTTACACACACAGCTCATGCATCAGCCACATACATACCTTAGATTGTGTCATTTCTCTTGTTCAAAATTCTAATGGTATTCTATCACAGAGAAAAATCAAGCCTGGAGAGTCATCCATGTTCTGGCCCCTGGCCATCTCTGCAGTCATATCAATATCACTCTTACCCTCACTCCGGCTCAGCCACTCCGGCCTCCTGGCTCTTCCTCAGCATGTCTAGTTCCACCTCACCTCTGCATTTGCTATTCTCTCCGCTGGAATGTTTTCCCCTCATAGTCACATCTCTTGCTCTCTTATTTCATTAAGTGCTCTGTTACAGAATTTACCAGGCGACCGGTAAATACACAAGGAGTACTCAGAGATTCAGGAAAAACCCATTTATTTTCAGATGCACTAGTACAGTGACTCAGGGGAGTCAGTCTGCAAACCCTGAGTGATGAATATGGAGGAAGCTTTCCCTTTATGCCCTTTGGTTTCTTTGTCCCCCAAATATGGCAGGCTTCCGGACCTTTCACGGGCTTTGCGAAAAGCCCTGTGTTTGGGATGGGGGATGTGAGATTACACCCAAAGGCCTGGCCTGGCTCCAGTGCTGATAACCCCTCTGGGGGTTGTGTATGGTTCCTGTTCTATGGCCTCTGTAAAATGGGATATTCTGGGAAACAGGTTCTGCAAGACAGGACAGGCATCAAAGGAGTTAATTATGGGCCAGCAGGAGAGTGCCTTGGAAGGCAGATTCCTGGCACAGACTCAGATTGCTAGCCGCCCCCAAATGTCTTACATCCCCCTTCACTCTACTGGAATATCACCTAACCACCCTATCAAAGTAGTACCACTTACACGTCTAAGTCCCCTGTCACATAAGTGTGTGTATTTCCTACCGCACTCACCCCACTAGAATATAAGCTTGGTAGAAGCAGAAACTTTGTTTTGTTCACTGTTGTACTTCCTACCCACTCCCTGGGCACCTGGACAATATCTAGCATTAGAAAAAGGAAAAATGGTATATGGTGGTAAAGAAACAAAAATTGTTTGCATATACAGAATAATCCATGATTGTCTATGTAGAAAACCCAAAAGAGTATACAAATATAAGAATTAATGAGAGGTTAGCAAAGTTGCTGGATACAAAAATCAACTTTTGCTAAAAACAAATGTAGTTAACTAAAAATGTGCCATATAAAATAATCAAAAAGTATGTATAAAGTCCCTACGAAATATTAACAAAAGAAGATATTCATGGAGAAAATTATAAAACTTTATTGAAAGATATTTAAAGATCCTAAATAAATGAAGCTATACTAGGTTCATAGATTGAAAGACTCAACACTGTAATTTACAAGTTCAATACAAATCCAATAAAATTCCAACACATTTTTGTTTGTTTGATTTAGAACTTGCCTAGCTAAACATAGCCAAGACACTCCCAAGGAAGGAAACTTTGGTGGAGGTGCTGGAGGTGGGGGGTTGGATTTGTCCTGAGATAGCAAGATTTTTTTAAAAAGTTGTAGTACTCAGGATTGTATAGCACGGCCACAGGTTAGACAAACTGGCCGGTCAGTTAGACTAGAAACCACCATCAGATCCCACCCTCCCCCTCCTCACACACAGAAACTTGGTTTATGGAAGAGCAGTGTTACAGATCAGGGAGGAATGGATAAACTTTTCAAAAACTGGTGCTGGGATGACCACTTATCCATATGGAAAAAATATCATATTGAACGTCTACCACGTATGTGTCACAAAAACCAGTTCAGAAAGGCTAAGGATACATGGGAAAAGCAAAACTACAACTTTTACAAGGCATCTCTATGATAATATCTCCATGAATTTGGGTAGGAAATGGTCCCCCTCCCACTGCCAATTTGCTTTCCCCCTTTTTCAGATACTTAAAAACACACACACAAATGAACAACAACAACAACAAACAAAATCCCCCGTTACTTCCAGCAGAATATGGGTAACAATCTATAAAATTTTACAACTTACACACACACACACAGACACACACACAAATTTTACAGCTTCCAAAATCCTCTCCTCAAAAAGTCAATCAAATCTTCGTTCTGCTTTGAACAGGAAGAGTTCCCAGAAGGGAGAGAGATGTTATAGGAGCATGTTCACAGGTCAGCTCTGCCATCAGAAGAAATTCTAAAGCCGCAGGGTTCTCCACGGGACGATCCACAGCCGGGAAACAGAAACCTTGGCCCTTTTGAGCAAAACCGTCGCGCTGCCATCAGAAAGCCTGAGCACTGCTGCCCAACGCGGCCGACTGCAGGGGGCCGAGGCCAGTCCTGAGCTGAGGGGTCAGGAAGGAAGACACGCTGCTCGGCTCCCCCACCCTGTCCGTCTTCTGAGCCAAAGCGGCGGGCGCACGGAGCCGAGAGTAACCTTCAAAAACGAGGACAGAAGACCCGTTCCCCGGTTTATCCGGCTGCTAAACTCTATCAGTGGTACCTGCCTTTTCCACAAAAGACAACAACAAAGTGTCTTCGTGCTAACATTAAAAAACCACAACCCCGCATTTTTATAAAACTTGATTAAAAAAATAGTATTTCAAATAGTAGAGCATTAGGAGCACAGCGCTACGCGCAAAGTCCACGTCACCCGGCATCCCCGGGGCCTTCCGCTCTCTGCGCCGGGGCTGCGGCGGCCTCTCGGGCTCCGGGAGGGCTGCTTCCCGCCGTGCCCGCATCGGCTTTCCCCTTCCCGCCTCTGGGCGGCTTCCCCGCCTTCTTTGCAGGGGCCTGTCTGGGCCGGGCCCGGGCTTTGCAGCAGCCGCAGGCTGGGCGGACAGCCGCGCCGACTTCCTCTGCGGCTCCCCCTTGCCCTTCACTCCGTCGCCTGGCGCATCCCCCTCGGCCTTCCTCTTGGGCATGGCGGCCGGCCTGGCAGGCGGCTTTTCTCGGCAGGGCTCTCCCCTCTTCCTCCCGCGGCCCCTAGAACGGTTCAGGGAACAAGACACAAACAGGGGAAGCCATAAAGGGAAAGACGGACAGGCTTAATGACATTAAAACTCAAATTTGATTATCTTAAAATTAATCTGTGTATATAAAAATATAGCATAAAAATATAAAAAGATAAGTTTCAAGCTGGGCAAAGAGATTCATAACACATATAACTGACAAAGCATCAGAATCCAGAATATGTAAAGAATTCCTACAGGTCGATGAGAAAAGGACAAAGTGAAAATATGAAACCAATGGGCAGTTAACAAGCACTTCTGAGAAGAAACATGGATGGTGAATAAGCACATCAAATGTGTTTTTTTGTCTTTCTTCGTGAGTCTGTCTCCACTGTCCATGGACCAAATCCCACTTCACCCAATATGCACCCCCCCCCTCCCCCAAGAAAACAACAGCAAAAGAGAAAACCGAGACAATCCTCACTCCCCCCCAGCGCACAGGAGGCCCTGGTGGCCGCATCCTTTGGGTCCCTTGGAAGGTAGTTCTCCGTGGGTGCGGGTCTCAGACCCACCCCAGTCCCACCCACTCCCCCCTCTGCCCCCACTTAGGGCGAGAGAGGGCCGGGCTGGAGGGAAGGCCACGCCGAGGACGGTGAGCGTGGAGTCTCCGCCTTCTCTCTATAAAAGCCTAAGCGACATTACCACCCAGACCGGACAGCGGGTCGCTATGACCGCACTGGCCACCGGGGGGCAGCGCTCAATGCAGGAGCTGACCCGGGGGAGCCCCTCAGCCACAAGCCCGCTGGCAAGCTCCTGGGTGGTGGCGGGAGCCCCCCGACATCCCGGAGGGCCCCCAGGCTGCTAAAGGGCGCAGGCCGGGCTGAGGGAGCCCCCCGCGCCCCCAGCGTGACTGTCCTGCGTGGGCCTCTGGTGCAGGAAGAAGGGAAAGTGCAGCGGTGCAGGCGCAGGGCTACAGGGCAGAGGGGACATGGTGTCAGCTACCCCCCACCCCCCCGCCACACACACCTCCCCCGAGGAAATGTGGGGGGCCGGAGCCCGGTCCCCCTGGGGCTGAGGGTGTGCGGACCCCGTGGCACTGCCCTCCACCGGCCCCGGGGGGTCCCGGGCACCTGCAGTCACGGAACCGGGGGCGCCTGGACGTGTCTCCGCGGAGCCGGGCGCAGACCGGGCGCCGGCCCCCCGATCGCCCACGTCCCTCCCCGGTGTCTGCGGGTCCCTCCCCGCGTTCTGGGGGGACGCGTGTCTGGGGGACCCGCAGGCCCTCCGCCCGCCCAGGGCCGCGTTTCCGCCGGTCTCCCGTTCACCCACCAGCCGGACTCCGCCTCGCCCTCCGGCCTCTCGGCTCCGTTGGCTTTTGGGGGCCGTTTGCGTTCAGGGGTTTTAGGAAACGGGGGGCGGGGGCCCGGGAAGGAGGGCGGGACGGGCCTGCCCTGCGCTGAGCCGCAGGCGTCGACCGCAGTCGCCACGTGCACGCGGGCGGCGGCCCGGCCTCACTGCGGCCCCGGGTGCAGGAAAGAGGGGGCACCCTGCCCCCCGCCTGGCCTGGGGCTGCAACTAAAAACATCCTGGACCCAGGGGAGCCGGGCCCCGCTTCCTGTGCTGCCGACAGGGCCCCGCGAGGGGACGGGGCCCGAGGGGCAGGGAGGGCGGGGCCCTCATCGCCGGACACACGTCAGACGCCCCATCCCGTCCGGCGCCCCGGGCACCGCAGCGACCGGCTCTGACCCTCAGAAACGGGTGGAAACCGGAGGAAACGCGTCCGACGGGGACCCCGCGGCGAGGGGGGAGCCGACCCGTTTCCCACCCCGCGCGGGTCCCGGCCCAGCGCCCCAGGTCAGAGGTCAACCGGGCAGGTCCCTCAGGCCCTGCACTGCTCGGTCCCTAAACTGGGGGGTCTTTCCGCTTGGACGGGGGACCCTGGGCCCGTCGCTGTCCCCTCCAAGGGGGTTCCACCAGCGACGCCTCGAACCCCGGGCCCGAGGGACCGCCCGTCGCGAGCTCCCCGCAGGGGCTGCGATGGGACCGGAGGCGCCGGGGGCTCCGCGCTCACCGAGTATCCGGACCGAACCCTCGCAGGACCCGAGGCCGGGATGGGCCAGGAAGGCCGCGAGCCGGGGATGCGCTTCCGGGGCCGGGCGGCGGCGGCCTCCCGACTCCGCACTCTCGTCAGCACCACAGCCCGGGCGAGCCAGACCGGAAAAGGAGGCACGTGTTATGAGGTCGTGATCATTTAAAAAAATTAAGTAAAATAGGCTTTTAACTGATCAATTACATGGTGAGAAAAACAGTTGTTTCCGCCCGGTTTCGAACCGGGGACCTTTCGCGTGTGAGGCGAACGTGATAACCACTACACTACGGAAACGCGCTGGCGGTTGCCTTCCAGGGGCCGCTGTTCCTCGCACAGGCTTTGCCCGTCGCCTCCGCTGGCGGCGCTGGGTGCGCATGCGCGAGAGCCTGCTGTGGCGGCCCCCGCCTGTGCGCATGCGCGAGCGCCAGTGTGCGCCGCTCTGTCCAGTCTTTTTTTTACTGGAAATTCCCGGATTGGGGAGAACAAAAGAGGGGCTCCAATCGTTACCTGGAGCCTATCATGGTTGCTTCTCAACACGAATTTGCACATTTTAATTGCTTCCCTTTGCCTAAGGCCCCTTCCAACCACCGACATTCCCCGGAGTGACTGGTGGGGCGGGCGCGCGGGGGTGGGGGTGGGGGTGGGGGACGCGGCCGGAGTGGGCCGCGCGTTGTGGGGCCGCCGGCGGCGGGAGCTTCTCCTGCACCAGCTTCTCCGGCTCCTCCGTGGTCGGCGGAGGGAGAAGCAAAATAGAACTGCGCCCACCGAGCCAGCCAGGAGTCGAACCTGGAATCTTCTGATCCGTAGTCAGACGCGTTATCCATTGCGCCACTGGCCCACGCGGGAAACTGGGGCGGCGGCTCGTCTTCATCAAAACCGGCGGACGGGGCCGGGGAAGCCGGGGGTGCGCGTCCCTGGGTCTGATCCCTCCCCGCTCAGGCCCTTCTGAGGGCAGCCACCTGCCGGGAGCACACGGTCCAGGTGCCTGTCCCGCACCGACAGGGGGTGATAATCTGATAGATGGAGCACCTGAGTTAATCTGAAAAATAATCACGGTGATCAAGTCAAAACTGCCGACATACAACTGTGATCTGTTGCCTGTACGCATCGTGGAAGGAAACGCCAAGTTTCAGCTGTCACTTGTTACTCAGTCAGAATCACATTCCCCCTCCAAGTCACAGACGACCCAGTTTTCGGTTTCTCTCCCAGCGGATGGAAACGGCGCTATCCGCACCCCCACGTGTCCTTACAACATGGTCGGGTCTGTGACCCCGGAACCTGCCCCTTCTCCGGCTTCAGGTGATGGAACAGCCAGCCCGAGGGCCCTTCCACCGCCCGAATGGTCAGCCTGAGACCGGAGCAGAACATAGAGCTCACACCCCGGTTGGAAGTGGTGGCTCCAGGTCCCAGCTTCTCCCAAGACGGGCCCCCGGGCTGTTGCACAGTCCCCTCGACGCCCCGCATGTCCGTGCTTCGCCGGCCAAAGGGAACCCCAGCCGGATCCTGTGGGCGCTGCGCTGAGCCACAGCCCATCAGGGTGGCTGCGCTGCTGATCATGACGCGGCTCCACGCCCTCTGACCATATGATGTTCATCTTATCATAGTAAAGAAACAGGTGCTTATTTCATGGAGTTTCCATCCACCTGTGGGTTGAGTTCGTCGACTTTCAATCTTTTAACAAAAACAAGGCATCTGGCAGAGTCATGCTGCCCCGTCACGTATGTAGGCGGAAATAAGTGCCTTATGGTGTGACCGAGAAATCCTTAAATATTGGGACAGTTTAGAAATACATGTTTCAGCGTTATCACCATGACAACAGTCATCAAGCAAGACGGCCCCGCATAATTACAGGCTTCATTTGGGAGGAGACTTTCACAGCTATGGCGACAGTTTGTAAGCTGTTCGGAGTTTCACTACAGCTGTTTGTTCAGATTCACGTTACAAAGCAGAGGATACGCTGGGCACCGCCACCGATACTCACACAAGCCCCCATGCGAGAGTAGAAGTTCTTGTGAATGCTCTCAATTTGACATCTTATCAAAAGAGATCCTTTGGACAAGAAAGTGTCTCTTCCTGTAGCGTCAGAGGAGCGGGGATCGCCCTTTTATTTCTTTCCGAGACTAGGTTTTCATTGGGCAGCCTTGTGTTTGTTTTTGTTTTTGTTTTTTGTCAGCCTTGTGTTTTTAAGGTGCAGCTCTAGAACTGTGTGAGTTAACATTACAAGCTACAAGCAGCAGGTGGAACCCAAATTTACGGAAAGACCTGCGGTAAGGAATGACTGGAACTTTAATTAAAAACCGTGAGATAGAAAACATGCAGCTTGCCTCCCGAACGGACCTGTTCTTGGTGCTGGACCTGTTCTGGTGTCAGTGTCCCGGGACCGGAGGAGGCGGTCTCCGCGTGGGCGCGGCGGGTCCCCGCCCCTGGCCCCTGGCCCCGCGCCCGCGCCGGGAGGCTCAGTTTCCCACAGCTGCGCGGTTCCTTCGGTTTCTTCCGTCTGCCGGTGTCCAGGCCGAGGCTCGTCTTTCGCGTCTTGGGAAGCATTTGGGTTGCGCCTGACCCTGGCGGAGAAGAAATAAGCAAATGCACCCCATAAAATCAAAGATCTCTCTCTTTCCCCATCGATTTGGACGCGAGCCGGCGTGCGGGCTCCGTGGCTTAGCTGGTTAAAGCGCCTGTCTAGTAAACAGGAGATCCTGGGTTCGAATCCCAGCGGGGCCTTTTTTCCCCCCCCCTTCCGGGTGTGGCTTTCCCCAGTTCGAAAGAGGATGGGTGATCAAAGTGAAATCTTAAGGGTAAATTTTCTCTATGCGGTTTCACAAAACTGTTTTACACGGGCCTGAGGATGGACTTCCTTATTATTTACAAAAACAGCACGAAGATGAATTTGTTGTTCTTTTGAAGAATATTTCCATCCTTCCTGTTTTTATATTTTTGTTCCACGTGTATTTTTTCATCAAGTACAAAAGGAACCAGGGAAAGCAGAAGGCAAAGTCACCGCATTTAAACTACAAGCTGTATAACCTCTGATCATTCTCTCGTCTTTCCCACGAACGCCCTTTCACACTCTGCAGGCAATGTTTTTAGAAAGGAGTGATGGACACAGGTGCTGTGGAGAAGGCTGCAAACACCTCTGTTCATAGCAGCCACTGAAATCCTACCTTAAATGGAACACATGTAAGGGACTGGGTGTCTCGCTGCCTGTTCTGAGTTTATCTAGCTGCACACCGAAGATGGGCGGACTTTTCTGAATGGATGTTATACTGCGAGAGAGAGAGAGAGAGAGAGAGAGAGAGAGAGAGAGAGAGAGAGAGAGAGAGAGAGAGAGAGAGAGATGAGTAGTTTCTGTGTCTACTAAACCTGGCAAAGGGAGCACTTGGCATGGGGTTTCCACCACAGCCACTTCCGTAATCACACCTGAGAGGTTTCTGAAATCACAGAGTCCCTGACTCTGCCCCAGGTGATGAAGACAGGCTTTGGCAAGGCATTTGGCAAGGCGGCCTTTCTTCCCTTTTAGAAGATTCGGAAATAAAGTCAACATTAGCAAGACAATGTCCCCCAGGCACTGGCACCTGTGCCAACCGGAAAGGGTGGTCCAGGTGCATCTGATAAGTCGGCTTCTGGTGCTTCGTGCCCAGAGGCTGGGGCTGGGGAAGGAAGGACACAGGTGTTTCCTAAGAGCCTGTCACCTGCTCAGTCCTGGGCCCGGTGACCGTTTTCCTTGAAGGGGAAAAGGAAAGGGGTGAGGGGCGAGGTTGTGGCGCTGATTAAAATCTGTAACCGGTTCTCTTTCTACTCTCAGCAAGGGGTTCCTGTGGCAGCCTGTCTGTTCTGGGTGAGGTTTCTTTCACATACACATTTCAGGATACGCATTACACATTAAACCAGCAAAGCAACTGCACGAGGTTCCCAAGTATTTTTTTTTTAAGTTAGTTGTTTTCTTTCTTTGACTTTCTAAAAGCATAATTTGAACACAAATGAACACTTTTAAAGCAGGAATAAATCATGTTCTTCTCCCAGAGATACAGTGTGGGTGGGTGGCATGCGGTGGGCAGTGTGGGGGGGAGAAGTGTTTGAGGCAGGACGAGGAGAGGACACAGAATCACATTCTATCCATTCGCGCGGCAGAGCTGGCTGGTCAGAGCCTCTGGGAGGTGGCTGTGCCTGGTCCTTGCCTGGGGCTGTGCCTGGTCCTTGCCTGGGGGAAGCGGGATTCTCGCTGAATAACGAGGGCCTGAACAGCGGTTTATAAGGTCACCCAGGTTTGCTTGCTTGCTTGCTTCCCGATTCCAAGGCATTCCCATGAAAAGTTTTTCCAAACATTTCCGCCTCCTGGAAAAGTACTTTTAAAATGCCAAGACATGGCTTCACTCATGTGCACCAGAATCACCTTTTTAGAGGTGAACATGGAGTCAGCACCCAAACGGGCCGAGGGCGGGCAGCCAGTGGGCACCGGGTCTTTTTGCGAGTCTCTGGGTTCTCCTGAGACAGCAGCGCCGGGTCTGCCTGCCAGGTGAGCCCACCCACTGCTGTCAGGCCCCGATGGGTCCTGGGTAAATAGAACCACAATGCTCAGTGAGCAACAGCCTTCTTTCCTCAGGGGTGTGTGTGTGTGTGTGTGTGTGTGTGTGTGTGTGTGTGTAGTATAGATTTTTATTGATGTCAGAGAGCAAGGGAGAGGGAGAGATAGAAATATCAGTGATGACAGAGAATCATCAATCGGCTGCCTCCTGCACGCCCCCTATAGGGGATTGAGCCCACAACCTGGGTGTGTCCTGAAGGGGAATGGAACCGTGACCTCCTGGTTCATAGGTTGCCGCTCAACCACTGAGCCATGCCGGCCGGGCCTTTCCTGTGTTTTTGTTCGGGTTCCACTCGTTACAATAAAGAAAGGAAGGTGCAGCAATCAGACAGACTTATTTATTAGGTTAAGACCACGGGCGACATTGATGCTGAACGCAGGGAAAGTACAATCCGAATAGGAGATGTGAGCGTGGACAAATGTGCAGCCTATTGACCAGAGGAGCCTGGGGCACAAGGGAAATGTGAAGACGGACAGGAGCAATCGGGCTCGCTGTGCTGAGCAGGGACACCGCAATCAGGGGACCCAAGGAGAAGGGGTGGGAGGGAGGCTGTGTGGGGAGAGAGCGCACAGGCCACGGTTTGGAAAAAGGGAGCAGTTGATGCCCAGGGAAGGGGTGTGTGAGGGGTTACACAGGACATTGGGATGACGGCTGAGGGGGCACAAGCCTGAGATAGTGCTGATGAAGAGGTGATATCCCTGAGGGACGACTCCTGGAACTGCCTCTGAATGGGAGAGAGCCCAGATCGTAAGGAGGAGGAGAAGCAGACATGATGGGGCCCACAGCGTGAGGGTGGGATGGCCCCCAGGCAAGGGAGCAGCAGGTCAGTGCGGAGAGGAATGGGGTCTGAGACACTGCTGTGCACACAACTGTCTAAAATCCTCCTCCCTGTCCACCTCCTGTCCGACACCCTGGCCCTGCTCCTGGCGTCTCTCCTCTACTCCCCCCTCCAACCGCTCAGACTCCACAGCAGCAGGGCCCGTTTCCTCCGCCCTGTAGGACAAGCTTAGGTATTTGAGATACAGGCCCTGACACTGTAGGGGCAGGCCAGGTGGTCATCCCTGGCCTGTGGTCACCTCACTTTCCTCCATCCCAGTGTCCCCTCCAGGTTCCTTGACAGGGTGTTAGCCTCGGGTCTTCTGTTCCCAGAATCCTTTGGGGTTTCTGCTTGCCTGTTCCTCCACATACCCCTCCTCTGGACACCAGGGTGGTTGTCATCACCCCATGACCATCTAACCTGACCCCATCTCAATCCCTGAGCTGTCTGTTGAGTTTATTTCAAGTCCTTCCCTTTAGGATGTGGCCTCCAGGGGTAGAAGAACAGATGTCGTTGAAAAGTCACCTCCCTGGACCCTGACTATTGGTACAGAAACAGATTAAAAAGGTTCTCTAGCAGCAGCCACACAACCTTCCCAAGACTAATCCCTATCCAACAGGAAGCCACAGAGCTGGGTGAAGCCTGAGGGGCGAGGGTGGCAGAGAGGGGTGAGAGCAAAGGGAAGCAGCTAAGCTGGGCTCATCCCTAAGGTGCCCCTTGGTTGGCCTGGGTAAAGATGAGTTTAGAATGAAGTGTGTCTGTGTCCCCAGAGGCAGCATCCTCCCCCAAGGGGGACAGTGGGATCTCCTTGGAGGGGTCCCTGGCATCAGCCTCTACCGTGACTTCCTCCAGCCCATCCGTGACCGGGCAGATGGTCAGGGGCTTTTTGCCAGAGGACCACAAGCAGAAGAAGGGTCGGAGGGGGCCAGAGAAAGAGGCCTTGGAGAACGTGTAGATGTGGGACCCGTCCATCATGTTGTAGAAGGCAACGTCTCCTGAGTCATAGTCCAGGAAAATCCCAACCCGACGGGGAGGTCCTGCCAGGGGGAGAGGGGTGCGCAGGGGGGTGAGAGCCCAGTACCCGTTTCCATACAGCTCCACAGCCCAGAACCCATTCTTGGGAGTCATGGGGTCAAATCCTTTCTTCATCACGTCCTCCCTGCAGACCCCGATGGCCCAGTCGGTCCTATCCCCCACCTCCACCTCCCAGTAATGCCTCCCGGAGGTGAAGGCCTCCCGCCCCAACACGCAAGGCCAGGAGTCAAATCTCTCCGGCTTCTCGGGCAGTTTCTGACGTTCATCTTCCAGCCGCACAGACTTGGAATCCTCATGCAGAAAGAGGTGGGGGTGGGCGGTGTCCGGGTCCAGAGTCACATCAACTAGACATGGAGAGGAAGTGAGTCTGAGCAGGCGTGAATGTGACAGGCTGCAAGCCCTGTCCTCCCTTCTCCGGAGAGACAGGAGCTGGCAGGTCTCCTCCGAGGAGAGCTGAATTGTTCAGCCTGCTCAGCTGTCTCTGTTCCCCTCTTCCCTTGACAGCCACAGGTGATGTACAAGCTGACTGTCCCCAGGGCCTAACACCCTGGCCAGACGGGCTTGTCTCCTATCCATCTCTCATGCCACCGTGTGCCTCAAGGAAAAGTTGATGCTATTGGCCACCTTTCCCCCTCTCTATCCTCATCCCTAAAGGGTGTTGGTGCTTTTGTTTCCAACTATTGTAGGACTTTGAGTCCCTGGGGGTTGAAGCCTCAGAGCCCTTGAGAGGTTGAGAGTCACTGACCTGCATGCAGTGTAGCTTTCTTCCACTCTGCAATGAGACAGAGAGACAGTCACTGAAAGGTTTTATAGGAGAGAGCGAGAGAGAGATAGAGAGGGAGAATCTTGAGGGTGAAATAATGACAAGAAGACAGAACTTACTGAGCTCTTTCAGGAGTTTCTCTGGAAAACAAACAGAAATAACAAATGACCTTTTACAGTGGACATGATGAAGCTCACAAAGGAGTAGCTGTTACATCGTGGCTACTCCATCACTGAAACATGATCAATGGTGAAGCACAAGAATTGTGCTGTTTTCTAAGTAACATGCAGGAAGTTCCTATTGGCTTGGATCGTATCTGCAGTCATTACTGGGAAACCGAAGTAAAAGTGAGGATAGCCTCAGGGTTAGTAGTGAGCAAACTTCAGGTCTAATACCTGCTAGAACTGGTTCTGATTCCTCCTGCACCCAAACCTCTGTCCTTGCTCAGACTGAGTATCAGTGACCCCAGGAGCCCTAGAATCCCCTTTGACTTTCAGAATTCCAGAGGTCCAATATCTTCCCCTGGCAACTATCCTACAGGACTTGGATCCAACCTCACTTGGACGCACTCCTGACAAGCAGCCGGGATGCTATGACTCACCTGTAGAGCTGAATTCATCCTTCCTCCACCTGGCCCTTTCCTTGTATAGTCTCCAGGTGAAAAATATGGACCCGATGGTCAGAACTCCTAGGACCACTAAGATGACAGCCACAGCCACCACCCAGGGAGTCAGCCTTGGGAAGAAAGGAGCTGAAACAAAGGACATTTGTTGTGAAACATTGAGCAAGTCCAGCTCCTCTTCTGGTTCCAAAGGGACTCGGAAGAGGGCATGACCTGGACCTCTCCCTTGCATTCCTTCCAGGGTGAAAACAGTCCCTCCAATGCCACTCAGGCTTTTAAGGGGGAAAAAAAAAAAAAAAAGATCTTAGGTAGGAAAAAGCAGAGAAAGAGAGGAATGAAGATGAATAAGAGTCGTTTTGGGATAGAACAAGAAAAAAATGGACGAATTTATGTTGTTATGGAAATTCCTCCTGAATGATCAATGGAGGACCTGAGCCAAGGGCACAGGGAAGTAACCCAGGAAGGGGAAGCGTCACCTCTGGGTGCAACAGCACAGACTCAGTGACCCAGGGAGAAGGAACAGTTCCTGCCTGGACCAGAGGCCGTGTGTGGGGGACAATGAGAAGAGTCACTTTCCTGAGGACCCTGGACAGAGCTCTCGCCTGGGCTGGAGGAGAAAGGGGTGGAAACAGGAGGGCTTAGTCTTCTTGCTCAAGGAGTGGGTCTCGGGATCAGGAAGGCCTGAGGGACAAAGCTTCTCTATCCAAGGTGCATCTCCTAAGAAAACCTGGGTTTTCTACAAGGTCTTGGTACAGTTTATGCCTTCAGAATATTTAAAAAATATTTTTATTGATTTCAGAAATGAAAAGAGAGAGAGGGAGAGAGAGAGAGAGAAAGAGAGAGAGAGAAACATCAATGATGAGAGAGAATCATCAATCAGCTACCTCCTGCACACCCCACACTGGGGATCGAGCCCGAAACCCGGGCATGTGTCCTGACCAATAATCCAACTGCAAACTCCTGGTTCATAGGTCGACAACGCTCATCCACTGAATCTTGGGGCTAAAATCTTTATTCTGAGTGAAGTTGGTGGGGCTCCCTCATGAGAGTGGGTGGGATTTTAGGTGGAGAAAGTAGACTGCTCTGCCAGGTGGTCATGCTTCACAGAGGAACCCAGTGTTGGGCTCACTGACCTGGTATGAAAATGTCTACTTCCTTCTCCTGGCCGAGGAGGAGGTTCTGGATGCAGCAGGACACGTTCTTCATGGAGGGGTCCCTGATGGTCACAGAAGCTGTCACGGTGAACAGGCCTTCTTCGTCGGGATCCCTGGACTCTGACGTGGAGGAGAACTTCTCTCCCGTGGGTGTCCTCCACTGCACCCGGGGCTCCGGGTACCACCCCAGCGAGGTGCACTCCAGCCGGGTCTCCCCGTTGTCCTGAAGGTCCACGTGGATGTGAGGATCAGAGCCCAGCGCTGTGGAGAGAGCAGCTGGTCTTACTCCTTCAGGGGACTCCCTCTGGAGCCTCAGACCCACAGGGCGGCATAGATTGGGAAAGAGAAGCACGCGGGGAGGGGGGAGAGGGCTCCTCTCCATACTGCATCACACAAGGAAACTGAGGGTCAACACGGGCATTTCATAACCTCCTCAGAAAGGGGCGCCAGCCCGGCGGGTCTGGCTCAGCGGTTGAGCATCAACCTATGAACCAGGAGGTCAGGGTTCCTTCCAGGTCAGGGCACCCGCCCTGGTTGTGGGCTGATCAATGACTCTCTCATCATTGACCTTTCCATCTCTCTCTCCCTCTCCCTTCCTCTCTGAAATCAATAAACATGTACTTAAAAAGAGACGCACACCTCCGGGGAGTCCGGGAGAAGGGCTCGCGGTACTCACCGGCCACCCGCAGGCGCACGCGGGCCTCTCCGTGGCCTGGGCCGTCCTCCCGCCGGAAGGAGCAGCGGTACTCGCCGTCGTCCGAGGCCTGGACCCCGCGGATCCGGAGCGCCACGCGGCCCTGGGCCAGGCCGTCCAGCACCAGCGCGGCTCGGCCCCGGTACCGGGCCAGCTGCTCGGTGTCCTGCGCGCGCCCGGCCCGGTGCACCAGCACCGCCAGGGCCTCCGGCTCCCGCAGCCACCGCATCTCCAGGGGCGCGGCGCTCAGGTTCGCGGGCAGGTGGCAGGGCAGCTCCGCGTCCGCGCCCACCAGCGCCAGGACCGGCTCCGCGGGCCCCGCCACGTCGAAGGGAGCTGCCAGGAACCGGACAGTTAGACACCGGGGCAGCCAGACACCGGGAGGGCCGAGGACGGATGGGGACCGGGGTCCCCGCACCAGGGCAGCGTCCTTACGCCCATTCCTGGGGCAGCCCGCCCCACGACACCAGTTTGGGGCCCAGGCTGAGCCTCCAGGGAGAACCGAATGGGGTCATTTCTGTTTACCCTGCAGGCCAGGGGCAGCAGGGAGACCCACCTGCGTCCACGGGACCTGCGTGCTGCCCGCGCAGATGCAGAAGCAGGAGGGTGAGCAGACACCCCCCGAGGCAGGGGCTGGGGAAGGCGGCCATCGCCCTCCTCCGCTGCAGTCAGTGGGGAGCTTGGCCTAGAAGACAAAGGGCAGTTCTTTCCCCCTCGGAGGAGCCAGGCCTTGCACAGACCGCCCCACCCCCCCTGCCCTCCACACACACGCACACAAGCCGGCCATCCGCCCACCCAACACCCTAAAAGAACACAATGGGCCCTACAACCCTGAGGAGACAGGAGGTGGGAGCTGTGAGACAGGGTGCCCGGGAAGGGGTGCCTGTGAAGGAAGGAATCTTGGAACCACTGTTCTACAAAAACCCTCTTCTTTCAAAGGCAGTGATTCGGTATTTGCTTTAGCAATGATGACAGAGATAACGCGATAGAGGCAGAGGTGGGTGCCGGGAATGAAGAGGAAAAAGCAGAGGTTGGAGAAGGACAGGGAAGGTGCTGAGAGAGCTAAGGGCGTGCAGTGCAGAGGGCCTTGGCCTTGGGAGGCGCCCGGGGCCAGCGGGAGCGGACATGCCTCCTGGCTGAGCGGGATCTGGGCACCCACCTGGCTCCTTGGAGGAAAGGGCGCCTGCCAGGCACTGCCACCGAGTGAGAAGGCTGGGCGCGCCGGGGCCAAGTTAAAGCCACAGAGGAGGAAGGGGCAGTGCCCTCAGGAGCGCCTGCCCCCACCCCATCCCCGATGTGTTTACTTTGGAAAGGAGTTTTCCAGCGACAACGGGAAGGGTCTGCTGCTCAGAGAACAGGGCCTACGCCCAAGCACCGGGCTAACTAAATGGGCAGAGTGGACAGGGAAGGGGCAAGAGAACGCTGGGAGGAGCCGGGAGCCTCCGCTCCTTCATCTCTAAAACGGGAATATTGTTAATAATAACCTTATTCAGAGGGGTTAAGCATGTAGAGCACAAAGCTTACAGTAGGGACATAGAAGAGGGTGTGACTTGTATTTTTTTATTATTTATGTGGGCTGAGAATTCCAGGTAGGCTGTATGTACCTGTGTGTGATTCAGTTTTTAGGGCCCCAGGATTGCCTCCCTGGGAGTAACTCATGAGGCCTGCAATTCCTATTCGAGGTTAAGCCTCTTATTGTTATGGAAAAAGAATATGGGAAAATGTTTTTTAAAAAGAAGAAATCACCCATAATGTCACCGACTGACGATAACCTGTACTCACATGTCAGCATCTTTCATCCCAGGGTTTACCTTACGTGCATGTGCACCAGAAAACAGAACTGATGAGGCTTTCGCATAATTTGAAGGGTGGTTAACAGTTATATCATATTGTAGGTTCTTACAGTTCCCAAGACTGTGGGCATTTTGTTTTTTTGCCTATTATACATAGTACATGTTACAAATAGGCTTTGTCCATATCTTTGATAACTTCCTGATATGCTTTCTGATCAATTCCGAGAAATGTAGTCATTGGGTCCAAGGGGATGAGCAGGCCGCCCAAGTTCCTTCCTGGAATGCTGAACCTGTCTCACTATCAACAGAATGTCCTCCTCACCTAACCCTGCCTGCACCACTGAAGTGGATCAAGCTGTGATCTTACCATGCTTTTAATTATTTATTTTTTAAAAATATTTTTATTGCTTTCAGAGAGGAAGGGAGAGAGAAACATCAGTGATGAGAGAATCATGGATCGGCTGCCTCCTGCACACCCCACACTGGGGATGAAGCCTACAACCCTGGCCTGTGCCCTGACTAGGAATCAAACTGTGACCTCTTGGTTCCTAGGTTGACGCTCACCCACTGAGCCACGCCGGCCGGGTTTACCATGTATTTATGTAATAGTGAGGTTGGTCACTTTTCATATTATCCACTCAATATTTTCCGGAAGTGAGCTCTTCAGGCCAACCACTCATTTGTTTCCTAGACAGACACATTCTGGTGCTGTTTCATATCCATTTGTATGAGCTTTTTTATAAATTAAAGATGTCAGCTCTGTATTATCTTTGTGGCAAAAATCCTTCATTACCACAGTTTAGTCCTGGTCTTCTAATTGGGCATATGATGAAGACCAAACAAATGATTGACCCACCAGACTGCTAGGAGAATTACTTCCCAAATGCAAATCTGATTATTTCACGTTTTGCTTAAAAATCCCTACATATGCCCAGCTGGTGTGGCTCAGTGGTTGAACGTTGAACCATGAACCAGGAGGTCAGGGTTTGATTCCTTAGTCAGGGCACATGCCTGGGTGGTGGGCTTGATCCCCAGTGTGGGGCTTGCAGGAGGCAGCTTGGATCAATGACTCTCTCTCATAATTGATGTTTCTGTCCTTCTCTCCTTCTCCCTCCCTCTCTCTGAAATCAATAAAAAATATATTTTTAAATCTCTACAAATCTCCTTAGTGACCCCAGCACCAAGTTCAGGCACCTTAATCAGGGCAAGAAAATGCTGTAGGATTGAGTGTTCAGCTACCTTCCTCTCCTCTATTTTCTCCAAGGGCCTACACACCCACCGGAGGAATTTGGGTGGAGATGTGGTTGTCTCAACCTGCAACCCCCTCTCAGGCCTTAAGATGGTAGTGTTGTCTCCCTCTCCTCCCGGCTGCTGGCTTCCCATGAATGGTGGGGATGCCCTGGAGAGGGCTCTGGCTCAGGGTTTTGGGTTTGTCTTCTTTGCATGTGGCCTAATCGAGCTAAGACGAAGGACTGGGTGAGGGCATCATGGAGGGCACTGTGTTCTGTGGCTCCTTACTCAGCATTGAGCCCGCTGCTCTTCCCGGGGGCGCACACTGTTGGCACGCTGGTAATAATCAGATAGGGCCCACTGATAGGTTGGCATGGTAGCGATGACATCAATCCCCATTGACCAAGCCCGTGTTGAATGGATGTGCACTGTACCCCTCGGAGTTCGTGTAGGTGAAGTGCCAGCAGGGCAGTGAGGAGGCCTGGGTGACTGGTGACGGGTTTCTGTATGGAAGAGGGACTCTTGGGGGTGGGAGAGGTGCAAATGCCCTGGGGTCAGGCTGAGTGGGAATGCTGTCGCAATGGAGAATTCCCAGAATAAAGTAAAAGGGAGACAGGACCTCAGAGGAGCCAGTGAAGTGCGGTTGGAGTGAGCTTGCAGGGAGGGACCAGGGAGTCTGATGCACCTGAGCTCCCCCCAGAATCTACCCCATTGCAGCCCCTCCCTGCCACCTGGTGGGGTGAGCTCTCCAGGCAGGGCTACAAACCTTAGGGAATTTTAGGGGTGGGCCAGGAATTCATTCACCTTGCTTTCCTCTTGTGGGGCACTCAGGAGGCAGCCGATCAATGATTCTCACCCTTGGTGTTTCTATCTCCCTCTCCCTCTCTGAAATCAATAAAAATATATATTTTAAAAAACAAACAACAAAAACACACTAACGTCCAGCTAAATACTGTGTGGTTTCATTGTCGGCCTGGGGAATTCACTTCGTTAGAATTTCCTTCTTCCTTTTCGGGCATTAGGGACCCTTCTCCTTGAACAACCCATTTCCAGTGGATTTTAGTGACTTGTGCTGTTTGTTCTTCCCGGGAAGCCCCCCTCAACCCTGGTCTTCATCTGACCCGAGGCAGAGCTCACCCCGAGAATAGCCTTCCTGGGGGGTATTTCTTGAAAACAGTTAGTGGCGATTACTTAATTGGCATCTGCCCCAAGATTGCGCACCTTCTCTCATGGGCAGATGAGAGAATCCGTCTCTATTAAAGCCAGACATCAGATTTGCAAAACAAACTGAACAATGCCATGCACATCACAAGCATTTATTTTGCTTTGCAAACAAGTCATCTTTCACAAAAACATGTTATGTTAATCTTAATCCGTTTATAGCTGTCACATAAATATAGATTGACAGACTTCTTCGAAGCTTTTCAGTCCAATATAGCAAATATCAGCAGCAAAAATGAGCAAAAGCCCTCTGGGGCCTCGGTCATTTTTCGTGAATAAGGCATCCTGAGGCCAAGAAGCTGGAAACCAGCGGCCTCCCCGCTGAACCGAGGCCTTGCGATGAACTGGTTCACTGCTCACCTGCTCAGCTGGGGCCTTACACCCCGGGCCGCTCTCCGCGACCATGACCGGGTACTGCCCCCTCGATTTTGGTGGGGACACCTGAGCCAGGCCCGATCCCCACAGATCCTCGTCTTTCATCCTGTGTCTGTTCCGTCCTTTCAGCCTGGGAGCTTTGCTGTGTGGGCTGCAAACCGGGGGGTGGGCGGGCTGGACCTGCAGGTGCTGGGACCCTGGGCCCTCCTGAGCCGGCTCAGCCACCCGAGGGCCGGGCCCCTCCCAGCCCGCCGTCCCGCTTCCTCATCCCTGACCTCCAAGGGTGGCTTTCCGTCCTCTCAGGTCCTGGGGCACCTGCTGGCCTCACGGCGAGTCCACGGTGCCTGGTGTGGACTCGGGTTCAAGGCCACACGCGTCACCTGATGCTACCGCAGCGGGCTCTCCGCCCGTCGCCGCCCAGCACTTTCTTTGGTTGGGGGCCACCCGGAGCCCTGATGCCCCCGGGACTGGCCCCTGCCCCCTGGTGACCGGCAAATGAGCGGCTGCAGCAACTGCCTCAGTGGGGAGACGGCCTGGGGTGCGGGCGGGGCCTCGGAAGGGGGTCTCCGATGTGACCACAGCGGGTGCGTGGCAGGAGGGGCGGCCAGGGCTCCCCTACTCTCCTCGGAGGCCAGGGAACTGGTGGCTGCGCTCGGTCCTCGCCCCGTGCAGGACCAGGCCTCCCTCAGGCACCGGGACGCCCTGGGCCCCGGCGAACGCGGGGCAGATGGACAGGGCGCCGTCGTCGGAGCCCAGGCGGAAGAAGGGGCGCAGGGGCCCCGAGAAGGACGCGCGCGGGCAGGTGTAGAGGTGCGCGCGCTCCCGCGCGTCGTAGAAGGACACGTCCCCGGCTTCGTAGTCCAGGAACACGGCCACGCGGCGCAGGCGCCCCCTCAGGGGCAGCACCCTCTCGGGCGAGGCCAGCGCGCGGTACCGGCCCTCGAACATCTCCAGGGTCCAGAAGCCGTGCCCGGGGGCCAGCGGCCCCTCGCCCCTCCGCTCTGCGCCCGCCGCGCAGACGCCCACGGACCAGGCCATGGCGCGCTCCACCTCCACCTCCCAGCAGTGCCGGCCTTCGGAGAAGCTGGGGGCGCCCAGCACGCAGGGCCGGCAGGAGAACCGCTCGGGGGTGTCTGGCAGACTCTGCCGCGAGGGCCCCCGCCGCACGCTCCTCCGGTCCTCGGACAGGAAGAGCTCGGGGTGCGCGGTCTCGGGGTCCAGGACCACGTCGGCTGCGGAGGAAGCCCCGGGTCAGGCCGCAGAGGCGGGGACACGCCCCTCCCCTGCGCTGGGATCCCGGGGAAGGGCCGGATCCCAGGCCCCGGGCGGCCCCAGGCGAGAACTCCCGACCTGCGCATCCACCTGCGCGGGTGGCGCGGCCTCCGGGAGAGGCGGCCCCAGCGCGTGCGCTGCAGGGAGCGCTCCCTCTCTCTCCGAATCCTCGGGTCCCCACCCCCCCTTTTCTCGGCCAGGACCTCTGACCTGAGAATCTCCTTAGCCGTGGAACTTGCAGAGACCCCGTCCCCGCCCCACCCCAGGGAAGCCATTCGGGCCCGATCGCTCCCCGCACACACGGGCAGGAGCCCGGATGGGTCCTCGGCGTCCGCCGGGTTAACCGGTGGCGGCGACGTAAGTGATGGACAAGGGCTCCCTTCAAAGGGCGAAGGAGGACAAGGCCCCCAAAGCCACTGCCCCCCGAGAGGCGAGCCCGGCAGAGGCGGGCCCGCTCCCACCGGCTGTGCGCTAACACCTGCGCCCAAGGGACTTCTCCCGGTTCGGGATGTGCCGAACGGCGCTCCGCAGACCTCCCCACCTGCCCTTCCGTGACTGAACCGGCCGGCGTCCATCGTGTTAAAATGCCTTCTCCCTCCCCCATCTTTATGTCCAACGGTGACAGTTGTAAAATTCACCCAAAGAGGAAAGGTCCAGCCCTTGCTGGCTGGGCTCAGCTATTAGAGGGACGGCCTGCGGACTGAAGGGTCCCGGGTTCCATCCCGGTCAAGGGCAGGTACCTTGGCTCAGGCTCGAACCCAGGCCCTGGTTGGGGGGTTCGTTTGGAGGCCACCAGTTGATGTGTCTCTCTCACATCGGTGTTTCTCTCCGCGTCGCTCCCTCTCCCTTTCACGATTTCTAAAGGTCAGTGGGAAAATGTCCTCAGGTGAGGATTAACAAATAAATAAACAAACAAGGAAGGAAAGGGCCAATCCCCGTGGTGTCTGCTAAAACCTGGACTCTTTGGTGCCTTTGAGCAGAGGGTGCTGAATCACACACAGCGCAGGGAGCTCATAGGACGCTGTGGGCTCCCACTTGCCCAGGCCCCGTCCCTGTGGGCTGCGCCCAGCATCAGGGGTCCCCTGGGCAGGGAGGCGTTTCCTGAGGCAGCTCCTGGCAGCTCCCTGCAGCCCGCACCTTCCCCGGTTACATCTATCTCAGCCAGCAGTGTCCTCCCTCACGTAAACCCCGGGTCCGAAGAGTCCCGACCCCTGAACCATAACCTCGGGGAGGTCCGCTCTGTGCCTGACCTGCTTGCCCTCCCGTAGTCAGGGACGAAATGACTCTGAAAAGCGAGGGCGGGAAAGTGGCTCCTCTCCCGCTCCTGGAGGCAGGACAGCAATTTCTCTGCTGTTCATATTCCCCCTGAGGACCGGGCCCAGCCCTCGGGGACACACGAGTCACTCCCAGAACTGGTTTTCAAAGCAACTGCAGGCACACTGGCCAAGACTGAGGAAAGGGTGATTCCCTCATTCCTGGCTCAGGCCTGGCTCAGGGGTTCAGCATCAGCCCATGAACCAGGAGGTCACAGTTCCATTCCCGGTCAGGGCACAGGCCCGGGTTGTGGGCTCGATCCCCAGTGCGGGGCGTGCAGGAGGCAGCTGATCAATGATTCTCTCTCATCATTGCTGTTTCTATCTCTCTCTCCCTCTCCCTTCCTCTCTGTGAAATGAATAAAAACACCTTTTTTAAAAAACGAGGGTGGGAAGGAAGCGAAGAGTTGACATCAGCCCCAGGAATTCCTGTGGGAAGAGCTGGGATGCCACTGGGTGGGGGTAGGATGCTGCGAGTGAACTGACCCCAGCCCAGGCTCCCCCGCACTGTGGCCCTGGTGACCCTCAGCGTACCCCATCCCTTTGGCTGGCTAGTGGGGGAAGCTCAGGAGGTGAGGGACGGCCGGGTGCTCACCAGCATGTAGGAGGCCTCTTCTCCATCCTGCAAGGGGACAGACAGTGAGCTTCCCGAGGTGACCGGGACCAGCAGGAAGCACGCGGTGCACAGGGCCATTCAGGAAATGCGAGACTTACGCAATTCTTCCTGAAGTTGCTCTGAAAAAATAAACGAAACACAACGGACGCCCTCAACGTGTATAGTTCTCTGCAAGTGAGTCGCTGGTAAACAAAGGCCTAGCTCTTTCTGTGAATCCTCCCTCCCCCACCTCTCAGGAAGCGCCAGGTCCCAGAAAGGAGGTGGACCAGGTGGCTGGACTGTCCTGGCTCAGTTAGGTTTGCTTTCTTTCAGCAACAGGGCGCTCTCTGCAGCCAGGTGGGTGGATGTAACATCTGAGGAAAGCGAACAGGAGTTGGGGGGGAGGTCGGGGGCCGGGACACAGAGCCCCAAGCCCTGACAGTCCCATTTGTCCTGTCTCCCAGGCTCCTGCAGCCCAGCAGGGTCATGGGAACGGCAGTGAAGTGCCTTCTTACTCGTTCACTTTTTGTTAGCCGTTCTTTCTCTCTTTTCCCACACGTTCTTGCCCCTGTTCCTTACGAGCCATTTCTTTCTGTTTATTTTCAAGGTCTTTTTCCAGGGCCAGAGCTTCTTTTCTCCTGCGGAGTTTCCTGATGAGACAGATGCTGCCGAGGATGATGATGAGGAGGAGCAGAGCAGGCAGGACAACTGCCAGGGCCTCCATCCAGGGGAAGGGAGATGAGCTGGGGATCAAGGGTTCTGGAAGGGGGGCCAGAGAAGTCCCAGTGAGTGAGGCCAGGGAGGTCCGGGGTGAGAACCATCACAGGGAGGAAAATCAGATTTACCCTCAGGGAAGAGGCTCCTACTCCTGAGTTTTGAGAATATTTGATGTTCCCCTTGTGATTCGGGGAGAGGCCTCAGCTCAGCTGCTGCCCCAGCTCTTCAGGGCCCAGGACCCTCCCGCTGCAGCCCCTCCCCCAGCCTCGCTGGGGCTCCCCTCTGTCTGCTGAGGACCCTCATGGGCTGGGCCCCCAGAGGGCAGTGAGTGAACCTGGGATGAAGATCACAGAGTCCTTCTCCTGGCCGAGCAGCGTGTTGTTGACGGAGCAGGTCATGTTCCTCACGGAGCTGTCCGTGATCACGGCCAAGGTGACCCTGAAGAGGCCGTCAGCATCCTGGGCGTAAGCCTCCTCCAGGGCGGGCGTGACCTCACCATACGGGTCCCTCCACACTGCGTGGGGCTCGGGGTACCACCCTTCCGACGTGCATTCCAGCCGGATGCCCCCATCCTCATGGTCCTTCATCTCAATGAGGGGCTTGGAGCCCAGGCCTGGGGACAGAGAGATACGTCTAAAACCTCTACTTCTGAAGCATGTTCCTGGTAAAGACGCTCAGAGATCTCTAAGGAGCAGCATCAGCACCATCTGTGGGGTTAAGGACGCATGGAACTGAGCATCTCAGAGGGAAGGTGGGGGAGGGCGGTGGGTGGAAGGTGATCAACCAAAGACCTTGTATGCATATGTGCATGGCCCATGGCCACAGACAATAGGTGGTGAGGGCCTGGGGTGGGGAGGGGTGGCCTGGAGGAGATTAATGGGAGGAAAAGGGGATATATGCAATGTTTTCAACAATAAAGGTTTCTTAAGAGCTGTAGGGATTAAACGTTCTCCCTGCTCAAGGCTCCCGCTGTGTTCTGTGTGCTTCTCAGGACTCCATGCCCACAGCTCAGCAGGGCAAAGCCACTGGTTGGGGCCTGGGGCAGGAGGAGGCTGTCCTCCGAGGTTGAAGGGAATTCTAGGCAAAAACCTACTGGACGGCTTGACCGGCGTGGCTCAGTGGTTGAACGTCGACCTATGGACCAGGAGTTGTCCATAGGTCTCCTATCAGGGCATATGCCCGGGTTGCATATGGGGGGCGTGCAGGAGGCAGCTGATCAATGATTCTCTCTCATCATTGATGTTTCTTTCTTTCCCTCTCCCTTCCTCTCTGAAATCAATAAAAATACATTTAAAAAATATGTATTAACAACAAAACAAAACAAAAAAACCTACTGGGCTGCCGGGGGCCTAAGGTTCAGTGAGTTGCTCTGTGAAAAAGCCACTGAACGAAAAAAAAAAACGAAAAAAAAAAGAAAAAGCCACTGAACGAAGTGACACGACGCACCTGCCACCACCAGGCGCATGGCGGCCTCGTCGTAGGACCTGCCTCGCTGGAAATAGCAGCGGTAGACGCCGTCGTCGTGGGCTGTGACGTTGTGAATGACGAGGGCCACCCTCCCCTTGCTAATGTCCTCGCTCACAAAGGTGGTCCGTCCGCGGTACTGTGCCATCTGCTCCTCGGGCCTCTCGCGCCCGCCCATGTACACCAGCACCGCCGGGGAGAGCCGAGCCCGGCACCACCGCACCTCCATGTCCTCCGCGCTCTTCTCAGGCGACAGGTGGCAGCGGAGCACCGTGTGTTCTCCCACCATGGCCAGGATGGGCTCATCCGGTCCCACGACTGTAAACTGGGCTGCGCGACAGAGGCAGAGGCTCAGGCGGGGCACCGGCCATTGGACATCGAGGGCAGGAAAGTGACAGGGGCCTTACAATCTGGCAGACAGAGCAGCTGAATTAATCGGAAAAGTTATCCTATTATTTTAAACCTTAGAACACAGATACTTATGGGAACAGGGGTTAAGTTTCTTATATGTGAGCAGGGGGTTACATTTTTCTTGTTTCCCTTTCAAGCCCTGTGTGAAGTGATTGGGGAGGTGACTCAGCTGTGAGTCCAGGGAGCAGAACCCATAAGCTGGGTCACCAGGAGCCAAAACACCATCTCAGCAACAGCATCTCATCGCCTGGGGACTGAGGACAAGAGCTGACAGCTGAGACCCCCAGGGCTGCACACAGCACCCAGCCCCTTCCCCTTTGTAGTCTTGTCCCTGCACCTGCTGGGAGACAGGATTTGATGCTTGTAAGCACCCTGTCTGCTTGGTGGGCCGCATTCTCAGTAAACGCCTCATGGGACTCATCCCTGCCTTCGTGACTGGACACAGCGACAGGCAGCCGAGCCCACCCGGGGGTTTTCCCCGGTAACAACAGGAAGTGGCTCTTCTCCGGGACAGCTACTCCTGGGTGGAGGGGTCTGGGGGCCAGTCGCTGTGGCTGGCTGGAGCTAGGGACGCCTAGTAAGTACCTACCGTGGCGGTTAATGCTTGGTGAACAGAACACAGAGGCCCACACGGAGCTCCTGCAGACCCTGTGCTTAGAGCTGTCCTGTTCCCCAGTCCAGCCCCAGCCTGGGGGGAGGTTGGGACTGGAACTGTCCAACAGGGTAGCCGCCAGCCAGTCCCAACTGAAACTTGCTGTCAGTGTGAAATGCATACACAGCCCTGGACGGTATGGCTCAGTGCACAGAGCGCTGGCCTGACCTGAAGGGTCCCGGGTTCCATTCCAATCAAGGGCAGGTACCTTGGTTGCAGGATCCTTCCCGGTCGGGTCCTGGTTGGGGACGTGCAGGAGGCAACCAATCAATGAGTTTCTCTCACATGGATGATGTTTCTCTCTGTCTTTCCCTCTCTCTTCCACTCTCCCTAAAAATCAATGGAAAAATACTCGCCCCTGAGGATTAACAACAACAATTTGAATGAGGCCCGGCCGGTGCAGCCAGTTGTGGGGAGCACGGGACTTGGCTGGAAGGTCTGTAAGGAGGGTTCTCCGAAAGGTCAGGGCTCTGAGGGAACTGCGCTGAAGGCGGCAGCCCCTACCTTGACTTTTCCAAACAAGCCCGATCCCCGGGTGTTCTGCTAGAATCTCTGTTTAGTCTTTAAGACCCGACCCTGTAGAAGCATGTGCTTCCTCAAGGATGCCTGCCTGCTGATTGTATCCAGAGGCTAATTTGAGCTCAAGCTGTTAGGACAATAAAAGCCCACGAGGCAGGCGAACAGGGCTACTTGGTGCGATAGCCAAGTGGTGCCTTAGCCTCTTTCACAGAAACTGTGTTAGAGCATCTGCCCATCCATCGCTCAGGGTCTTCCGGCCCCGGCAGCCAATCAATGATTCTCTCTCATCATTGCTCTCTCTCTCTCTCTCTCTCTCTCTCTCTCTCTCTCTCTCTCTCTCTCTCTCTCCCTCTCTCTCCCTCTCCCTCTCCCTCTCCCTCTCCCTCTCCCTCTCCCTCTCCCTCTCCCTCTCCCTCTCCCTCTCCCTCTCCCTCTCCCTCTCCCTCTCCCTCTCCCTCTCCCTCTCCCTCTCCCTCTACCTCTCTCCCTCTCTCCTTTTCCCTGATAAAGTTTGAATTTTGGTTACTTGGGGGTTATGTGCCTTTGAACTGGGGGCGCTGGCGTGAACTCAACAGGTGCACGAAGGTGTGAGCACACACAGAGGGAAGTGTGGCAGCCCCCACCTGAGACCAGCGCCCACCTGAGACCAGTGCCCACCTGAGACCAGCCCCACCTGTGACCAGCCCCACCTGAGACCAGCCCCACCTGAGACCAGTGCCCACCTGAGACCAGCCGCCACCTGAGACCGGCCCCCACCTGAGACCAGTGCCCACCTGAGACCGGCCCCCACCTGAGACCAGTGCCCACCTGAGACCGGTCCCCACCTGAGACCAGCGCCCACCTGAGACCAGTGCCCACCTGGGACCAGCCCCACCTGAGACCAGTGCCCACCTGAGACCGGCACCCACCTGAGACCAGCGCCCACCTGAGACCAGTGCCCACCTGGGACCAGCCCCACCTGAGACCAGTGCCCACCTGAGACCGGCACCCACCTGAGACCAGCGCAGACAGGCCGAGGAGGGGGAAGAAGAGCCGGGGGTCCGGCGGGGAGACGCGAAGGGAAGCCGCCGGCTCCATGGCACCGAGGTCCAGTCACCCCGGGGAGGCGGGGAGGCGGGGGCGCAGGCCCAGGGCGCAGACCTGGGGAGTCGCCAGAGACTTGGCACCGCCATCCTGATCAGCAGGCGTCCCTGCAACTCGTGTTGGTGCCATCAGAGCCCCCACGTGTGTCCTGGGCACCCCATTGTGTCCAGGGTCGCCCCTACAGCAGGACTCCGAACATTCCATGGCCGGAGCCAGGAACCTCGATCCGCCCGGCCCGGCTCACGTCTCAGCCAGAGCTCGGCTTCTGCAGAGTCACCGGATAGCTTTCCACCCCCTTCCTCCCCTCCCCGTCCTCCCCTCTCCTCCCCTCTCCTCCCCTCTCCTCCCCTCTTCCCCCCTCCTCCCCTCTCCTCCTCCTCCTCCTTTTCCCTCTCCTCCTTCCCCTCCCCCCCTCTACCTCCCCTCTTCCCCCTCCCTGTCCCCCTTCTCTTTTCTCTTCTCCCCTCCCCCTTCTCCTTCCCCGCTTCCCCCTCTCCTCCTCCCCCTCCCTGTCCCCCTTCTCCTTCCCCTCCTCCCTCTCCCTCCGCCTGTGCGCCCCCAGGTGAGGCCGCGCAGAGACCCGGGAAGCCCCCCTCCAGGACCCGCCCTCCCCACCTGGTGACCTCCCGCCCCCACGGGAGCGCAGCGCCCGCGGTCCCACCTGTCGGACTTCAGGGCGGCATCTCCTTTCCTCCGCGGACGCTCAAGGACGGTCCGGTTCTCCCTCTGTAACCCGCCCGAGAGCAAACCGTCCCGCACGCGGGGAGGAAAACTCCCTCTTCCCCCAACCGGGGCCGGAGGACCGGAGAGCCGGGGGGCCGAGGGGCCGGGGGGCCGGGGACCCGGGCTGGGGGCCAGGGGGCTGCGGGGCTGGGACCTGTGTCCTCTGGGACCCGAGTCCCAAGAGTCCCAAGAGATTGGCGGCGGCGGGTCAGCCAGCCAATGGCGTCCCGAGTCCGTTCGTCATCGGTTGCTGGGTAGAACACGCACAAACTGCATAAACAGCAAACATCCATAACTGCGAATCGCTTTTTGAGATGATCTGGCCTTTTAGTTCCTTTTCCTTCCTTTTTAAAAAATGATGTGTTTATTGATTTTAGAGAGGAAGGGAGAAGGAGAGAGAGAGAAACATGGAGAGAGAATCACTGACCGGGTGCCCCCTGCACGCCCCCCACCAGGGATGGAACCCCGACCTCCTGGTTCACAGGTTGACCCTCAACCACTAGCCGGACCCTTGTCCTTTCCTCCGAGGAATGTAATTTATGCTTCAGTCTTGCCATACCCTGCGGGCTGTGGCGCCGCTGCTATGAAGACGGAAAGGGCTGAGGGTAGAGAACAACCAGCAGCTGCTATGGAGACCTTGTGACTCTCCGAAACCATGGAGTGAGACGGGAAGAGGCGTGAGAGGAGGAAGCTTCCTCTTTCCCTGGGGAGATGGCACCCGTGTCGCAGATCACAGCGGCCGGCAAAGGCTCCCGCCTGCCCGTGAATGGTCTGCTGGGCCCAGCACCCCCACACTCACCTGATGCTCCTTCCTGGGCCCACAGACCCCATTCAGGACACTGTTTACATTTCTTCCAGAACAGTGGTTTCCAAACTTATTTGGCCTACCGCCCCCTTTCCAGAAAAAATATTACTCAGCGCCCCCTGGAAATTAATTTTTTTTAAAATTTTAATAGCAATTAAACAGAAAGATATATGCCCCCAAATGCACCTGTGGCCATCACCGCCCCCCTGGATCGCTGCAGCGCCCACCAGGGGGCGGTAGCGCCCACTTTGGGAATCACAGTTCTAGAATAACCTTCCCAAGGCACATTTCTTTTTTCTTTTTTTAATTAATTAATTAATTTATTTTATTTATTTTTATTTATTTTTTTATTGCTTACAGTATTACAAAGGGTATTAAATATGTGTCCCTTTTTTTTCTCCCGCCCTTGACAATCCCCTGGCCTCCCCTACCCCCCAGTGTCTTATGTCTATTGGTTATGCTTATATGCATGCATACAAGTCCTTTGGTTGATCTCTTACCCCCCTCCCTCCTGCCCCCCACCCCTCCCCGGCCTTCCCGCTGCAGTTTGACAATCTGTTTGAGGCTGCTCTGCCTCTGTATCTATTATTGTTCAAAAGTTTATAATGGTCTCTATTATCCATGAATGAGTGAGATCATGTGGTATTTTTCCTTCATTGACTGGCTTATTTCACTTAGCATAATGTTCTCCAGTTCCATCCATGCCGTTGCAAATGGTAAGAGTTCCTTCTTTTTTACAGCAGCATAGTATTCTATCGTGTAGATGTACCACAGTTTTCTAATCCATTCATCTACTGATGGGCACTTAGGCTGTTTCCAGATTCTAGCTATGGTGAATTGTGCTGCTATGAACATATGGGTGCATATATCCTTTCTGATTGGTGTTTCTGGTTTCTTGGGATATAGTCCTAGAAGTGGGATCACAGGGTCAACTGGGAGTTCCATTTTTAGTTTTTTGCGGAAACTCCATACTGTCTTCCATAGTGGCTGCACCATTCTGCATTCCCACCAGCAGTGCACAAGTGTTCCTTTTTCTCCACATCCTCTCCAGCACTTGTCGTTTGTTGATTTGTTGATGATAGCCAATATGACAGGTGTGAGATGGTACCTCATTGTTGTTTTGATTTGCATCTCTTGGATGACTAGTGACTTTGAGCATGTTTTCATATGTCTGTTGGCTTTCTGAATGTCCTCTTTTGAAAGGTGTCTATTTAGGTCCTTTGCCCATTTTTTGATTGGATTGTTTATCTTCCTTTTGTTAAGTTGTATGAGTTCCCTATAAATTTTGGAGATTAGGCCCTTATCAGATATGACATTGGCAAATATGTTTTCCCACGCAGTGGGTTTTCTCGTTGTTTTGTTGATGGTTTCTTTTGCTGTGCAGAAGCTTTTTATTTTGATGTAGTCCCATTTGTTCATTTTCTCTTTAGTTTCAAGTGCCCTAGGAGCTGTAACAGTGAAGAAACTGCTTCGGCATATGTTTGAGATTTTGTTGCCTTTGGATTCTTCTAGAATTTTTATGGTTTCCTGTCGTACATTTAAGTCCTTTATCCATTTTGAGTTTATTTTTGTGTATGGTGTAAGTTGGTGATCTAGTTTCATTTTCTTGCATATATCTGTCCAATTTTCCCAGCACCATTTATTGAAGAGACTATCTTGGCTCCATTGTATGTTCTTGCCTCCTTTGTCAAATATTAATTGAGCATATTGGTTCGAGCCCATTTCTGGGCTCTCTATTCTATTCCATTAATCTATATGCCTGTTCTTGTGCCAGTACCAGGCAGTTTTGAGAACAGTGGCTTTGTAATACATCTTGATATCTGGTATTGAGATCCCACCTACTTTGTTCTTTCTCAGGATTGCTGCAGCTATTCGGGGTCTTTTTTTATTCCAGATGAATATTTGGAGAGTTCGTTCTAGATCTGTCCAAGGCACATTTCATAACATTCCCCACCTGTGCATAAGTGCTTTCCTGGGAGACCGAGAATTTCCTTCTATGTTCGACACTGCAGTCAGCACACGAGCAACAGTCCCACTACCAGTTATTCCAGGACTGGACTCAGTTCCCCATTCCCTTCACCTGAGTTGCTCCCTCACATCTGCCTCCTGGGAAAACAACTCTGGATGCTCCCAGCCTGGAGGGTCCCAGCTTCTCCTGACAGCCAGCAAGGAATGGCAACCTGGGTCCCACCCCTGCAGGAAACTCAGTTCTGCCAACAACCAGAATTAGCAAGAAACAGACTGTTTCCTGGACCCTCCAGAAAGGAGCCAGCCTGCAGACACCTGGATGTCAGCCCGGCCAGAGCCACACTGGGCTTCCCAACTACAGACATGTGAAGTAAGGAATCTGCATTGCATTAGGTCATGAAATTTGTGGTTTTTGTTAGCAGCTTACAAAGCTGATACAATAAGGATTTTGTGTAAATGTGGTGGGTAAACTGTGGGGGTGAAAATCTAGAAGAAGCTCAGGTGCAGAGTGAAGACCATTAACCAATTTATTTAACAAATGTGACCTGACCACCACCTGCCGGGTGGAGGGGACACAGTGGTGACCAATCACAGTGATGGTGATGGAGTGGCTTTTCCCCAGGACCCAGCAGTTACAGGAACCTCCGGGAACATCAGCGCATGCTCAGCGTGGAGTGTCCCTTTCCCGGAGATGGGCTACAGTGTGATAAAACTTCCACTGCAGTTCACCTGGCTCCCTTCCCCCAAATTCATGCCTCACACATGAGCTTTAGGGATGAAGCTGGAGGGTTGGTTCAGCTTCATGATCACAGGTCTCAAGCTGGTTAGGAGTTTGGCCTCTAGTCCCTTCTCAGACCCTGTGCTGCGGTCACTGTGAATTCATTCTGTGGACGACGTCATCATGGACAGCCAGCCAATGGAGCAGTGGACCATGGCTCTGACAGTCCCCCTTGAAGGAACCAGGTGGGGTGTGGCCTTCATAGTCACCTACAGTGACCTTCTCCCTGGGGCCCTGGGAAGGGAACCTCAGGCTGCCCATGACCCTGCCCAACAGGAACAACTGGCTGCAAAGGAACAGACTGGAGGTAGAGGGAGGGTCAGAGGTCAAACACCTCTCAGCAGCACTAGTTTCTGCCTGAATTATATGTCACTTCCCTGGGCACTGCCTCCCTTTCCACACTTTCAATGAGGCCACCTCACAGGAGTGTTGTGAGGATTGGGGAGTGAGATTCACCTGAAGCATTTAGCCCAGCACCCACCATCTTTTAAGTACCTGTGAATTGAGCTATGGTTGCAGAAAGGGAGCTGAGTAACCTTTGGAAAGTTATTAACTTCCTGCACCCTGGTCTCCTCATCTGTCATGTGGAAAAGTTGAAAGATAACTAGGAAAGTGCTTCACTCAGTGAGTTTTTAGTAAGTATGTTCCTGCTGTGAGGTTTGGCTGTTAAGCAGGCCCTCAGCTCAGGGCTGGGCAGGGGGAAGCAAAGACTTTACTTCCACCTGAGGGTCCTCATTGCCATCAGCTGAGCCTGAGGCCACTGGGGTCTCCAGGGAAGGGTCAGGCAGTGGGTCAGGCAGAAGGGAACTCCCCACTCCTTTTAGTGCTGGGCAAATGGTCAAGGCAGTGGGCTCCTGTGACAAAATCCTGAAAAGAGGCAAGAGAGGCCCAGAGAAGGGAGCCTGTGAGAAGGTGAAGATGTGCAATCCATCGATGGCATCATAGAAGGAGACCTCCCCCCTCTCATAGTCCAGGAAAACCCCCACTCTTTTAGGAGGGTTGACAATTGTGAGTTTGCTCCGGGGATCCGTTCGAGCATGGAAGTCATGCCCATCCAACAGTGCTATTGTCCAGAATCCATTCTGGGGTGATATTTTAACATCACGTTTTCTCTCCACGTTCTCCCTACACACCCCTAAATGCCACTGTTTCCTGTCCCCCACCTGCACCTCCCAGAAGTGTCTGCCTGACGTGAAGCACTCACGGCCCAGCACACAGAAACGATCCTGAAATCTCCTGGGGTTGTCTGGCAGGCTATGCATTTCTTTTGTTAGTACAGTTCAAGCTCCTCTGGTCCTCAGAAATAAGGAGGCTGGGGTGCGCTGTGTCGGGATCCAGAATCACGTCCGCTGCAGAGAGTTCCAATGGTGTGGGGTCAGCCATGGTTTCAGGATCTGAGAGCCTCAGGCTCCAAGGCTTGGGTCTGGCTGGTGAGACCTGAGCCCAGAGCCTGGGGTCCCAGCTGCCCTGATTGTGACCCTCAGCAAAGCCAAGAGAAACCACAGGGCCTGGTGGTTAGTGAAGAAGGGAGGGTGAGGAGGGCTGGGGTCTGCCTAACCCCATCTCAAGTGGCCACCTTCCTTCTATCTTCCTCCTGTTTCTTCCCCAGAATGACTGTGCCCACCTGTGCTGCAGAGTCACATGGATTCCAAATCCAGCCCTTGCTCTGCCCTCCTGAGCTGGACGACTTCCTTTTCTGCAAGACATCTTTTCTCTCACACACACACACACACACACACACACACACACACACACACACGCTATTTAATGTCCCAAGTCTCAATGTGATATCTGTAAAATGGGAATAAAAATACTCATCTCCAGGGTAGAATAAAACAGAATGTGAGCTGTATTTAGCCCAAGGCCAGGCATGGAGGAAGCATCTGGTGTGGTCACAGGGACCAGGTCCCTGCTGTGCTGGGGCCATGCTGGGCTCTATGTGATCCTCACTCCCCACCTGCCCCACCCTCTTTGCCCAGGAATCCATCCTCCTTGGGCAGCATCACTGGGCTCTCTTGCCTCTGGTCACCTGCTGGCTTTGGCCAAGGGCAGGTACAGGCTGAAGACTGGAGGGAAGGAAAGAGAGGCACAGCCCCGACTTCCCCACGTCCTGTGTTGGAGAGGCTCTAACAGAGCAGCCTCCTCTCAGGCAGCCTCTCCCTAAGCCACAGCCTCCTCAGGGCTCCAATGACTGCTCCCTGTCCCTCTGCCCTGGGTCTGGGGTGGTGGCAGCTCCCACTGCTGTGAGCCTGGGAACTGCTCTTCCTTGTGGTTTCCCTTAATGCCACCCCTGCCTCTGGAGGTAGGTCCTTCCATAAACCCTCTGTAATCACTGGGTAGATGTGGCTGAATCAACCCAACTCCATCTCTGTGTCTCAGATTTCCTTCATCTCTTCATGCTGTGACCTTTGACCAACCTCCCTGTCCTTAGCAGGCACACCAAAGCCTTCAGGGTGATGATGATGTGTGTTCCTTAAAATGTAGCCATAAACAGTTCTGTTAGTAACACTAGAACGACATGACAACGGAGGTCAACACCAAATGTGATGGTATCGATTATAAAGAACCATCCACCACAAGACCACCAGGAGGTAAGCTGATGCTGCCATACTCTTTGTCCTTTTGTCCTGACAACCATTAGTACCCAAGTTGTGTGTTTTAAAAAGTACTGTCACAGGTCTGTTAGTGGTGAACAGTCTCCCGTGCAGGCTGACACCTATTCTGTCTGCTCTAACCCCAACCCCTGTGAGTAAATGGCTCTATAATACAGTCTGTTATAATCTAAGGAGTTGCCTACATCACTTTTAGGTCTTAAGAACCTTCTCCTGACTGTGGTCATTACCATCAGACACACACCCATCATGAAAAGGCCATGACTTCCCTCTTGAAATTTTGACCAACACACACTCATCACCTCATCTAGTCTTACCTCCATCCTCACATAGTAGGAATGACCACCATCATCTCCAAGGGACTCAGAGATATGGCACAACTTGAGGAGGCTCAGGGCAGGAGGGACAGCAGCTGGGCCAGGTCACCTCCTGCCTTTCTCTCCAGCCCCTGCCTCCAGCTCTACCCCTCATGCCTCCTCCTTCACCCACAGAGCTGGGGAAGCCAGCGCAGCAGCTGTCCCTGGCTCTGTTAGCAGCAGATGGGCACACTGTGGGGAGCTCATGTAACTTACCCACACAGATGTCTCACAGTCAAGAGCTGTAGAAGAAAGAGGGAGCCAGGACCCTCTGCTGTCCCAGGGAACACAGTGACTCATCCACTCACCAGGTTGGTAAAGGGCCATCTTCCAGTCTGAAAGGAAGGAGACACAGGCAAGGAAAGGTCATCATTTCTGTTCTCCCCCCACCATCCTCCTCACTGAGCCTCTTCCCTCTCCTTCCCACCAATATCTAGTGTCCTTCCTCCACAGCTCTGAGGAGGAGGCATAAAAGCTCTCAGAATGTTGGGCTTCCCTCCATCACGGTGGGGCTGTGGGTGACGGGGCCAGGCTGTGCCCAGGTGTGGGCGTGTGTGTCAGCAGGTGAGGGGACGCTGGAGCTGGGAGGTCCTCTCTGGGTGTCCAGAGAGGCAGGGTGGTCCCCCACAGAACATGAGCTCTGAGCAGGGTCTGATGACCCCTCACCAGCACAGAAAGGGTTGAAGGGCTTTGTACACAAGTGTCAGGAACCAGAGAGCAGAGTCACTCACCTGCATAGGCCTGAGACCTGTCACCTGCAAAGGAAGACAGGCAGGGTCACCTCAACTGTCATTTCTGAGTCCTTTCCTTTCTCTTCCTTTTGACCCCTCACCTCCCTCTCCCTCTGCCTGTTCAGTTCCCTGCTACCCTTTTCTCTTTAAAGTCACCAGCATCTAGTGACCTGCAGGCACCGAGTGGGGCTTTCCCAGCTGCACCTGCAGGTCTGTCCTGTACGTGTCTGTACAGCAGTCACCTTTAACCATCATTTCACTTTCTGAAGTTTCATTTACCCTCTGTCACCCACAGTTGGAAAAAATAAAATGGAAAATTCCAGAAATAAACAGTTCATAAGTGTTAAATTGCACATCATTCTGAGCAGTGTGATGAAATCCTGTGCCATCCATGTCTGACATGCCAACCTGAGAACCATCACTGTGCCTGTCCACCCTGTGTTCCTCACATGAGCCACTTAGTCACTGAGGAGCCGGCTCTGTGGTCAGATCGGCCTCAGCATCACAGGGCTGGTGTAAAAGTCCCCTGATGTTATTTATTAATGACCCATCATTGCAGTGCTGCTGGCCATTGGGGTGTGGCAATGAGAAGCCTTCCTTTAAGTGAGAAGGAGAACCTACTATACAGAGTGTGGTGCTATCCGTGGGCCAGGCACCCACTGGGTCATGTATCCCATGCCCCTGACATAGGAAGTGACTGTCTTCGTCCTGTACCTTGTTGGGCTTGCCGTGTGCATACGTGTATGCATATGTGTGCTGAAATCCACCTCAATCTGCATGATTTCCTGCCAATTTCCAAAAAGAATTAGGTGACTTAATGAGAAAATTTCAGACACTACTTTTCAGCAGTTATGATAAATCTGGGACAACTGACACCAGCCCCTCCTCTTTAGAAGAGAATTTCTCTCTCCTTCTGGTTTCCTCTCAGCAGCCTATAGATTCTGTAGAGCAGCCAGGGAGGGAGGACTCACATCCTGAGTCCATCTCCCCTCTCCTTTCTGGGGTTCCCTGGACATCCGGGTGTGAGCGGCCTGGTGGAGAGAGCCTGACCCCTTTCTCCAGGGAGGAAACCCTGCCGACCTCCCCCATCAGCCTCCTCATTCCTTCCCCTGGGCGGTCAGGGGTGAGGAAGGGGCTGGACAGGTCCCAGCAGAGAGTCTCAAAGGCAGGTCCAGTCCCAGGTACTCACGTGCCAGGTGATCTGCTGCTTCGTCCTCCCTGCAGGGGAAATGGGAGGGTTTGGTGAGGCCGGTAACCAGGGACCCCAGAACCCTCGTGGTGGGGGATTAAGACTTACTGAGCTCCTCCTGCAGCGTCTCTGGAAATAAGCAGAAAGAGAAGGTGCTGTCATGGGGATGGAAGGGGGGACCTGTGCTGTGGATGGGCGGCCTGGGGCGGGAAGGTCCCACCCACGTGCAGCCAGGCCTCACCTTTGGCGCTTCGCTCCTGCTGCTCCTTCACCTGTGCTGCTTCTTTCTCAGCTCGCTCCCTCGCCTTCTCCTGGCTCAAGGCCTTGATTCTCTTCTGCTGTCGCCACCATAAGAACACCGCCTCGACCAGGATCCCCAGCAGAACTACAAGGGTCGCCCCCACGATCACCGGCCAGAGCCACACCATGTAGGAGAAGAAGGGGCCTGCGGAGGGAAAGCCTCAGCTGCTCGCCGGAAGGGGCGCGGGGACTCCGGGAGGGGAAGCGACATTTCTCTTCCCAAAGTGCCCAGAACTCTCCCGTCACACAGACTAGTGTCCGAATGTCTGGCTCGCACATGGGAGCAGTTAGAGAATAATGTACAGACAGTCACTGGCGTCTCCTCTCCACCCTCCCCCGTGTATCAGCGGCTCCTCAGGGGCTTAACCTGCTGCCTCAGAAGGTGACCTTGGGGCTGGAGGGTGACCTTGAACCAGTGACTTAGCCCTTCTGTCCTCAGTGTCCTCCTCGGCAGAGCATGAAGTTAATGCTCTAAAGTCCCAGACATGACGTCAGTGCCATGCGAGAGTTTATTCATTTTAAAAACATAAACATCTTCAAGATCCAAGAAGGCGACCATGGGGACCGCAGGCTGCAAGATAGTGAGTGAGAGAGCGGGAGGGAGGGCGTGGAGGGCGGAGGGTCTGGGCGTGAGAGAGAGGGAGGGACAGCTATGTTCCACGGGACTGTGGGGACTGGAAGACCTGGCTCCCCAGCGGCAGCCTCTGCTGCATCTGAAACCTCTCCCGGAGCCGCGGCTCTGCGGCAGGGAACGCAGTCTGTGCCATCTTGAAGGGGAGAGCGGCTGTGATTGGGAGCCCAGCCTCATCTCCACCCGGGAGACCTCGGGTACCTCCTGGGACCGGACAACCACATCGCCCCGGGACCAGCTGCCTCAGCTGCCAACCCGCGAACACCTGGACTCCCGACTCCCCGGCCATGGGCACCTAAAAAGTTTGTCCAGGGGGAGACATGGTGGCAGCTGAATACGCAGACGGGTCCTGCGCCTTCTCACAGAGCAGATGGAAGGAAGAGCGCCATCGAATAACACCCACCCAGGATTGGAGAATTAAACACAGCTGGAGAGACAATCCGTGACCAGAAAGGTCAGAGATCACCTAGAGCAGCAGTTCTCAACCTGTGGGTCGCGACCCCTTTAGGGGTCAAACGACCCTTTCACAGGGGTCGCCTAAATATATCCTGCATATCAGATATTTACATTACGATTCATAACAGTAGCAAAATTACAGTAATGAAGTAGCAACGAAAATAATTTTATAGTTGGGAGTCACCACAACATGAGGAGCTGTATTAAAGGGTCGCGGCATTAGGAAGGTTGAGAACCACTGCACTAGAGAGAGAAGTAAGCTCTGCCTCTTCAGATTCATCTGGGTGTCTGTTGTTTGGGTGTCTGTTGTTTGGGTGTCTGTTGTTTGGGTGTCTGTTGTTTGCAGTTTTTAGATTAGTTGTTGGTTTTTTGGAGTTTTCTCCCCATATACATATAATTTTTCCTCCTCTTTCTTTTCTCTATTACATTTTTCCTTTTCTCAATATCATTTTTGCACTCTTTTCTCTCCTCTAATTCTGTTTTCTCTGGTGGTCACCTTTATTTGGGGTTATTGGTATGGTGAATCCAATTGTGTTTGATGCCCTATGTGTTGTGTCTTGTGTTGTATTTTGTGCCTTTAAGTCAATGCAGGAGAGAGAGAACTACATAACCAGACACCCTGAGAGGAGCGAACATAGGGACACAAAGAAACAGCCCCCATACAAAAGAAAAGAGGAATCACTGTAAAAGGAAATAAATGAAATGCAGGCAAGCAATCTGTCAGAGAAATAATTCAGAGCAATGGTCATAAGGACACTGAAAAGGATGGAAGACAAATTAAATAATATGTGTAAGAATCAAGAGGAAATGAAGAACCAAGAAGAAATGAAGAATGACATCACTGCAATAAAGAACACAATAGAAAGTATCCACAGTAACTACAAGAAGTGGAGGACAGCATCAGTGAGCTGGAAGACAAGGTAGGAAAAACTACCTACATAGAGAAGCAACTGGAAAAAAAAACACCTTAAAAAGCAGGAGGAGAGCCTAAGGGAACTTTGGGACAACACAAAATGAAATAACATCCACATAATAGGGGTGTCAGAAGGACAGGAAACTGAGCGAGGAATAGAAAACCTGTTTGAAGAAATAATGACAGAAAACTTCCCTGATATCAGGAAGAAAAAACTCACACAAGTCTAAGAAGCTCACAGAGTCCCAAACAAGATGAACCCTAAAAGGCTGACACCAAGACACATTATAATTAAATCGGCAAACACCAATGACAAAGTAAGAATCTTAAAGGCTGCCAGAGAGACACAGAAAGTTACCTACAAGGGATATCCCATCAATCTATCAACTGGTTTCTCAACAGAAACACATCAGACCAGAAGGGAATGGAATGAAATATACAAAGTCATGAAAAGCAATGGTCTGAATCCAAGAATACTGTACCCAGCAAGGCTATCAATCAAAGTTGAGGGTGAAATCAGGAGCTTCACAGACAAAAAAGAACTAAGGGAGTTTATTACCATCAAACCAGCAATGCAAGAAATGCTAAAGAGTTTGCTGTCAAAAGAAGAAATAGGAAGGGAAGAAGGAACACTGGCATAAAGAATAAAAACAGCAACAAACAAGTACCTATCAATGATAACTTTAAATGTAAATGGATTAAATGCCCCAATCAAAAGACATAGTGTAGCTGAATGGATAAGAAAATATGACCCATATATCTGCAGTGTATAGGAGACCCACCTCAGAACCAAGTATTCACACAGACTGATGGCAAAGGGATGGAAAAAGGTTTTTCAGGTGAATGGAAATGAAATGAAAAAAAAATCTGGGGTAGCAATACATATATCTGACAAATTAGACCTCAAAGGGAATGCCATAACAAGAGATAAGGAAGGCCACTTCATACAAAAGGGAGCAATTCAACAAGAAGATATAACTCTGCTAAACATATATGCACCCAATACAGGAGCATCCAAATACATGAAAAAACTTCTGGAAAATATCCAGGGAGAGATTTACAGCAATACAGTCATAGTAGGGGACTTTAATACCCCACTAACACCATTGGATAAATCCTCTAAACAAAAAATCTGCAAAGAAACATCAATCCTAAGTGACTCACTAGATCAGATGGGATTAATTGACATCTTCAGAACATTTCACTCCAAAGCCACAGAATATACATTCTTCTCAAGTGCACAGGGGTCATTTTCAACGATAAACCACATATTGGGGCACAGGCAAAGTCTCTTTAAATTGAAGAAGATAGAAAACATATCAAGCATCTTCTCAGATCACAATGGCAGAAAATTAGAAATCAACTACAATAAAAACAAATGAAAGAAATCAAATACCTGGGGCTAAATAGCATGCTATTAAACAATGATTAGGTTACCAAAGAGATCAAAGAAGAAATAAAAAGCATCATGGCAATAAATGACAATGAAAACACAACAATCCAAAATATATGGGCACAGCTAAAGGAGCATTGAGATGGAAGTTCATATCTCTACAGGCCTATGTCAAAAACCAAGAAAAAATGGAAATAAATGATCTAACCCTACAACTCAAAGAGTTAGAAAGAGAGAAACAAGAAAACCCCGGTGTAAGCAGAAGGAAGGAAATAATAAAGATCAGAGTGGAAATAAATGACATAGAAATCAAAAACACAATACAAAAGATCAACAAAACCAAGAGATGATTCTTTAAAAGGATAAACAAGACTGATGAACCTCTGGCCAGGCTCACCAAGAAGCAAAGAGAGAGGACCCAAATAAACAAAATCAGAAATGAAAGAGCTGAAGTAACAACCAAGCCCATAGAAATACAAAGGATTATGAAAAAAAATACAACAAAATGGACAACCTAGACAAAATGGACATGTATGTTTTTAGAAAAATACAAGCTCCCAAAACTCAATCAGGAAGAATAAAAAATAACTTGAACAGGCCAAGAACCACTGAAGAAATTGAAGCACTGATCAGAAATCTTCCAGCAAACAAAAGCCCTGGTCCAGATGGCTTTACAGGGGAGTTCTACCAAGCATTCAAAGAAGAACTAAAACCTATCCTCAAACTATTCCAAAAAAGTCAAGAGGAAGCAACACTTCCAAGGTCTTTCTATGAAGCCAGCATTATCCTAATTCCAAAACCAGAGAAGAACACCACACACACACACAAAAAGAACTACAGGCCAATATCCTTGATGAACATAGATACTAAAATCCTCAACAAAATTCTAGCAAATCAGATCCAGCATTACATTAGAACGATCATACACTATGACCAAGTGGAATTTATTCCAGGGATGCAAGGATGGTACAATATCCACAAATCAATTAATGTGATACATCACATAAACAAATTGATAGATAAAATCACATAAATCAATCGATGCAGAAAAAGCATTTGACAAAACCCAACACCCTTTCTTGATTAAAACTCTCAGCAAAGTGTAAATAGAGGGATCATACCTCAACATAATAAAAGCCTTCTATGACAAACCTACAGCCAACCTCATACTAAATGGGCAAAAACTAAACTCATTTCCCCTAAGAACGGGAATAAGACAGGGATGCCCACTTTCACCACTCCTGTTCAATATAGTACTAGAAGTGCTAACCATAGCAATCAGACAAGAAGAAGAAATAAAAAGCATCCAAATTGCAAAGGAAGAAGTAAAACTGTCCTTATTCCCAGATGACATGATACTGTACATCAAAAACCCCAAAGACTCCATCAAAAAACTACTATACCTAATAAATGAATTTGGCAATGTAGCAGGATACAAAATTATAACTCAGAAATCTATGGCCTTTTTATACACCAATAATTAACACACAGAAAGAGAAACTAAAAAAAAATCCCATTTACCATTGCACCAAAAAATTAAGATACCTAGGAATAAACTTAACTAAGGAGGTAAAAGACCTGTACTCAGAAACTACAGGACATTGAGAAAAGGAGATAGAAGAAGACATAAACAAATGGAACAACATACCATGTTCATGGATTGGTAGAATCAGCATCATTAAAATGTCCATACTACCCAAAGCAATCTGCAGATTCAATGGAATCCCCATTAAAATACCAATGGCATATTTCAAAGATCTAGAACAAACTCTCCAAAAATTCATCTGGAATAAAAATGGACACCAAATAGCCACAGCAATCCTGAGAAAGAAGAACAAAGTTGGAGGGATCACAATACCAGATATCAAGCTATCTTACCAAGCCACAGTTTTCAAAACTGCCTGGTACTGGCACAAGAACAGACATATAGACCAATGGAACAGAAGAGAGAACCCAGAAATCAACCCAAGCCATTATGTTCAATTAATATTTGACAAAGGAGTCAAGAGCATACAATGGAGTCAAGACAGTCTCTTCAATAAATGGTGCTGGAAAATTTGGTCAGATACAAGCAAAAAAATCACCAACTTACACCATACACAAAAATAAACTCAAAAGGGCTAAAGGAGTTAATCATAAGATGGGAAACCATAAAAATCCTACAAGGCAGCAAAGTAGCAGACATATGTCATAGCAATATCTTTACTGACACAGCTCCTAGGGCAATGGAGACTAAGGAGAAAATAAAATTTTTATGGGACTACATAAAAATAAAAGCTTCTGCACAGCAAAAGAAACCATTAACAAAACAACAAGAAAGCCCACTGCATGGGAGAACATATTTACCAATGCTCTTTCAGATAAGGGTTTAATCTCCAAAATTTACAGAGAACTCATACAACTTAACAAAAGGAGGATAAACAACCCAATCAAAAAATGGGCAAAAAAACCTAAGTAGACACTTTTCAAAAGAGGACATACAGAAGGCCGAGAGACATATGAACACATCCTCAAAGTCACTAATTATCTGAGAGATGCAAATCAAAACAACCATGAGGTACCATCTCACACCTGTCAGAATGACTGTCATCAACAAATCAACAAATGATAAGTGCTGGTGAGGATGTGGAGAAAAATGAGCCCTCATGCACTGCTGGTGGGAATGCAGACTGGTGCAGCCACTATGGAAGACAGTATGGAGCTTCCTCAAGAAGTTAAAAGCAGAACTCCCATTTGACCCAGTGATCCCACTTCTAGAAATATATTCCAAGAAATCAGAAACACAAATCAGAAAGGATATATGCACCGTTATGTTCATAGAGAACACTTTACAATAGCTAAGATCTGGAAAAAGCCTAAGTGCCCATCAACAGATGAGTGGATTAAACAACTGTGGTACATCTACACAATGGAATACTACACTGCTGTAAAAAAGAAAAAACTCTTACCATTTGCATCAACATGGATGGACCTGGAGAGCATTATGCTAAGTGAAATAAGCCAGTCAGAGAAAGATAAATATCACATGATCTCACTCATATGTGGGATATAATGATCAACATAGTTTGATGAACAAAAATAGATCCAGAGACAAATGGCAGGAGGTGGGGGGATAGAGAGCAACCAAAGGACTTGTATGCATGCGTATCAGCATAACCAGTGGACACAGACTATGGACACATATGTAATAACTTAATCACTGAAAAAATTTTAAAAAAGAAAACATAGATCCAGAGACAAATGGCAGGGGAGGTGGGGGGGATAGAGAGCAACCAAAGGACTTGTATGCATGTATATCAGCATAACCAATGGACATGGACACCTAGGCGGTGGGGCTTGGCTGGGGTGGGAATGGCTGGGGCGGGGGGAGTCAATGGGGGGGGGAGGAGACATATGTAAAACTTTAGACAATAAAAAAACAAAGAAAAAAATTACATTACATTGAAATAATAATAATGCCTGTACTGGAACCTGATATATATATATATATTTTCTTCTTATTTGTCTTGCTTACACCACAGGCGGCATCTATGCAAGCTGCTCCACAGCTCGTTTCTCAGTGCATCGTGGGGACCTTTCCCTCTCAGCATGGGGAGCACGTCTGTGTTTCCTCCCACAGGGCAGCCTCCACTGCACAGGAGTCCCCATGGGTGGCATCTGAACTGTCTCTGACTTTTGTTATTATAACTGATGCTCTAAGAAATAACATTGTGCCCTGGCTGGTTTGGCTCAGTGGATAGAGCATTGGCCTGTGCACTGAAGGGTCCCAGGTTTGATTCCGGTCAAAGGCTCAAGCCTGGATTGTAGGTTTGGTCCCAGTGTGTGGAGTGCAGGCGGAAGCTGATGATTTCCTTACATCACTGATGATCCTCTCTTTCTCTCCCTCTCTCTTCCTCAATGAAATCAATAAAAATTTATATTTTTAAAAAGAAATAACTTTGTCCATCAGTAATTTCACATAACCCCGAGCTGATCTTTCAGATAAATTTCTAGAACTGGGATTTTGGGTCAATATATAAATAGTTTGGATTAAGATTGTTCTATTGACCCCCAATATAAGGTGTGTCAATTTATACAAAAATATACCAAATTATACCAACAAACGTCTAAGAGTGTCTCTCTCCCCACAGTCCTGCCATCAGTGTCTCCAACTACATGGTTTGTTTGCTGCCAATCTCACAGGTGGAGACATCTCCCTGCTCAGTGAGACTGGACATCCTTCCCCGAGGTATTTCCTTCTGGGAACCATTCATTTCTGTACTGAGCTGTTTCATGTTTTGAGGAGCTCAGCCCTTTCTCCAGGACGTGTCTGCACATACTTTCCCCACTTTGTCATGTCTTTGCTAATATTTACCATTTGTCCTTCCCCATCGCCTGTCCCAGGTGGAGGCGGCAGGGATGCTCAGAAAATGTCTGTGACATCAACAGCTTCAAGGGGCAAAGGGCACCCAGGTCCCTGCTCTGAGCCTTATGCTCATTGCACAGACCCAGGTCAGCATCAGACAGTCAGGCCTCCTTCTCTCAGTGGCCACAGGTGAGCACAGTGTGGGGCCGGGCACTCACCTGTGATAGAGACCCTGGCTGTCTTCTCCTGACTGAGCAGGGGGTTTCTGATGACACAGGAGACCCCCTTCACAGAGATGGCTTTCAGGATCACAGATGATGTGACTGCATACAGACCCTCTCCATCTACAGTCCCAGGCGCTGCCATGGCGGGCAAGCTCTCTCCCCTGTCACCTCTCCATTCTACGTGGGGCTTGGGATACCAGCCTGCAGACGTGCACACCACAGGAATCCGCCCATCTTTACTGTCCTTCATTTCAAGGTGAAGATCAGAGCCCAGGGCTGGGGAAGGAAGAGTGAGCCTGAGTCATGGGGAGGCCTCTGTGTTGGTGAGGGTCCATCAGGAACGGGGGCTCACTCCACTGGATCACACAGGCAGGGTTCACTAAGGAGCTGTTTACCACGTGTGCTGTGCAGGGGAGACTGTCCCATGAGGTGACCACTGCCTGACCCTCATGGACCCCTGAACTAGATCCAGCTGGATCTGGGCCAGAACAGAGACTGCTTCCTGTGGATCCCCTCAGAGACACCTGTACCCTCCCCCTGCCCAGTGCTGGTTCCTGGAACTGGCCCTCACCCGCCCTAAGCTTGTAACTCATTCCCCTTATCTGGGCAGGTCATGCCCCAGTCCCCTATATATCCTGCCTGTCCTGTGTGAGCTTTAGGCTTTGTCAGTTGGTGGGGAGGATATGCAAGTTCTATTGTTGCAGTGCACGCTGTTCCTGGTATGAGAGTCACCGTGGTGAACTCTTGATATCATTATTCTAGAGTTTACAGCCTCTTTTTTGGGTCTTTGGACTCAGGGGAATTTTTACATTGTGGTTATGGAAGGGGAAAGACTACATGGGAGAGAGCTGACCCAGGGTCAGGAGCAGTGAGCTGTCACCACCAGTCCCTAAACTCTTAAACCAAGAGGGTCGGGGGGTGGGAGGAAGCCTTTTGAAGACTTGGAAGAACCCAGTCCTGTAGGGAGGGATTTCCAAAGAGGAGCTGTGGTCTCAGGAAGGGACTGTAGTTGGCTGAGGAGGCCCTGCAGGGAGAAAGCCAGGACCTCCACCCCCACCTTCCTTCCTTCCTGTGCAAGGCAGGGCTGTGCCCCAAGAAAGAGAAATGATGTTGGACATGAACAATGTCATGGAACAGCAGCATCAGACAAGGATGCTTTGTCCCTGTGATGGGTCAGGACAAATTAAGACCACTCAGTCATCATATCTGAACACAGAATAACACATGAACAGTGTCCAGTCCACAGCAACCAGCAATCATCCCCTGTCCTAGGTGTGAGTGATCAGTTACCCCCACACCCTCCTGACAGCATATGATCCAGAGCAAAGCCCTCCTTCCATAAACCCTCTCCTAGTCCCCTGTCAGCCCAAAGTTATACCAAGTCTCCCTGACACCCCCTCATGGGGACACCCCATGTTTCCACACTGTGTGTTCTCCTCACTGCAACTAGTACCAAACTCAACTTGTTCTACTGCAGGTGTGATCCTGGGGCCTTTGGTTGAGGTAAATGGCAGCACAGGTGATGTCCCTGCAGCTCAGCCTCCCTGGACCCACAGCAGCGAGCACCTGGGGGACCCAGGTCCACTGCCTGGAACACAGCTGATCCCACTCAACTGTGTGCCCCCCAGGAGGGGAGGTTTCCTCAGCCTCCTGCCCTGACCCCACATCCCTGCTGAGACCCTGGTGGCTGCAGGAGGGACGTCTTCACTTGGTTCAGGAGGAGCCCTTCCTGCAGGAAAACCTGTGTCTGTCAAGGGCCCAGAGAAGCAGAGGTGGAGGAGGGAGGCAGCTGCTGGGGTGGAGGCAGAAGTCTGTGAGGTGGGCTAGGAGCCTGTGTCCCCAGGCCCCACAGAAGAAGGAGCTCAGAACAGCCTCAGGCTCACCTGCAACCTTCAGCTCCACCAGGGCTTTTGCAAGGAAATCGCCATCTTGGAAATAACACTGGTAGGTTCCACTGTCAGAGACTCTGACCTTGTGAATCCGCAGGACAGCCTTCCCCTCAGCGATGTCCTCTCTTAAAATCGACGTTCTCCCTCGATACTCTGCTATCTCTATTTCTTCCATGCCGTGTGCATATGCACACACCACCAGCCTGAGGCCGGATCGCAGCCACATCAACTCCATGGACTCAGCATTCATCTTCGGGGACAGGTGACAGGGCAGCTCAGCTACTTCACCCACCATGGCCAGGATGGGCTTAGGGGGTCCAACCACAGCAAACTGAGCTGGTGAGCAGAAAGGGGTGCTCCATCAGAGGAAGCTGGAGGCCAGAGGGTAAGGGGGTGTCCCAGGTAGGGAGGGTGAGGTAAGAAACACCTGGACAGGGACACAGTTCTGACAGATGTACAGTGTGGATGGGCCTCCCAGGTGTGAGGAGGAGTCAAAGATTCTGACTGGGCATATAGGTAACTGCTCCAGGCCCATAAATGCAGATGGTCCCTACCTGAGCAGGGCATGAGCAGCTGGACCAAGGCGAGGCAGACGGGGAGGTGGAGCAGATGGAAGGCCAGTGACCTCACCATTGTTGGCTGTTGTGCAGACAGAGAGACACCAGAAGGAGCTGGTAGAAATGACGACCTGGAGGAAGATGGAGAATCCACATGAGACCTCTGCCTCCCCAGGGCCGACCCCCAGAGCAGCCACCATCACTGGTGACCCCAGAGCCTCCTCTGAAATGCCTGTTTGGGAGTCTCTTCACCTTTGACTCCAACATGGAAAACCACCCTAAAGTCTGTAACCTTAAGTGTCCGTCCCTCGGCCCTGGCCACCTGGGAGTCCTGGGCTCTGTGTCCAATGGGCTCACAAGCTTCCACTGGCCCACACGTCCTGGACAGCCTGTCCGCGCCTCCAGCATCTCACTCTGATTAACGCAGGACCCCCCTCTCTGAGCCCCGATTCCACTGGGGCCCCTCAGTCTCTGCTCCACACCACAGCCCGAATGCTCCTGCCTCCCTCACTTCACGCCTCTTCTCAGCCTCCAGGGGCTCCCACTGCACTCAGAGCAGGAGCTGGCATCCTCTGTTCCCTGCACTTTCTAAGTTATCTGAATGTTTGAAACTTTAAAATCTCAGAGAGAGGAATATATTTTCAGGGATGGCTATTGCATTTTATTCCTTGTTATAACCGATTTTAAAATGAAAAGACTCATAAAAATAAAATTTATATAAATTACAGTGTTAATGCTATACTTTGCTTCATATGAATGTAAATATTTCTGTAACTATTCTGCATATTATCTATACTCATAAAAGGGTAATATGCTAATTAGACTGGGAGACCTTCCAGGAGACCTTCGGACATTCTTCTGGACAAATCCATGGGTGCGGGGCCGAGGTAGAGATGGTTAAAGGCCAAGAGGGGAGGGCAGTTGTGGGTGATCAGGCTGGTGGGGGGTAGGGCCGTTGGGGGTAAGCAGGCCATCAGTGGGGGTCAGTTGGAGGTGATCAGGACAGCGGCGGGGGGCAGTTAGGAGTGAGCAGGCCAGCAGGGGGGCAGTGGGGGGTGAGCAGGCCAGTGGGGAGGGAAGGTGGGGACGAGCAGGCCATCAGGGGGGGCAGTTGAGGATGATCAGCCTGGTGTGTGTGTGGGGGGGCATTTGGGGGCAAGCAAGCCAGCAGGAAGAGTGGTTAGGGGCAATCAGGCAGGCAGGCAGGCAGGGGAGCAGTTAGGAGCCAGCATCCCGGATTGCGAGAGGGATGTCTGACTGCCGGTTTAGGCCCGATCCCTGTAAACTGGCAGTAGGACATCCTTAGAGGGGTCCCAGATTGGAGAGGGTGCAGGCTGGGCTGAGGAACGCCCCCTCGCCCATGCACGAGTTTCGTGCACCGGCAGAATAGATGCACAGTGGATAGAGCATTGGCTCAGTGGATAGAGCGTTGTCTGTGCAGAGGCCCGGTGCATGAATTCGTGCACCAGTGGGGTCCCTAGGATTAGTGCATGAATTCGTGCACCAGTGGGGTCCCTAGGATTAGTGCATGAATTCATGCACCAGTGGGGTCCCTAGGCCTGGCCTGGATCGGGCTAATACTGGCTCTCTGACATCCCCCGAGGGGTCCCAGATTGTGAGAGGGCTCAGGCTAGCCCAAGGGACCCCACCAGTGCATGATCAGGGCCGGGGAGGGATGCAGGAAGTTGGCCAGCTCGGGAGGGACCCTGGAAGGGCTCCAGGGCATGTCCAGCCCATCTTGCTCAGTCCTGATTGGCCAGACCTCAGCAGTAAGCTAAGCTACCAGTCGGAGCATCTGCCCCCTCATGGACAGTGCACATCATAGATGCTGGTGGACCAGTTGACTGTCTGCCCCCTGGTAGTCAGTGCGTGTCATTGTGAGCGGTTGAGCGGCCCTAGCATATCATTAGCATATTATGCTTTGGTTAGTTGAATGGATGACTGGACACTTAGCATATTAGGCTTTTATTATATAGGATTTCTCAGTGTACTACTTGGGTTATATATTTTACAGGGTGTCTCAAATAAATATGTACACACTTTAACATTTGATAGCTCAATTTTGGAAATTAAATGTATTTTGCCCTAGCCAGTTTGGCTTGGTGGATAGAGAACTGACGTATGGACTGAAGGGTCCCAGTTTTAATTCCAGTCAAGGGCACATACCCTGATTGCAGTCTCCTCCCCGGTTCAAGCAAATGCATGAGGCAAACAATTGATGTCTTTCTCTCACATTGATGTTTCTCTGTCCTTCTCTTTGTCCTCCACTCTCCCTAAAAACAAATGAAAAAAAAAATCCTCCAGTGAAGAGTAAAAAAAAAAAAAGAAAATTAAATATATTTTAATAAACACTGCCTTGATAATTATTCAAAGGTATGTATACATCTGGGGGATATATATCAGATGTCTTAAGAAAGTTTTATTCTTTGACCCACAAATTCCACTTACAGAAATTACTATTAAAGAAAAAGAAAACCAGGCATTACCAAAATGTTTTATGTTTAATTCTGCTCATCATAGTAAAATCTTTAACAACAAAATATAGACAATTTAAATACCCAAATTGGATCCAAGTTTGTTATAATTATAACAAATATCTTTATCAAACACATGATTCCTAAACCTACAGCTAAGATAATACTCAATGGTGAAAAGTTGAAAGCCTTTCCTGTAAGGTCAGCAATAAGACAAGGACGCCCACTCTCACCACTCCTGCTCCCACAGTATTGGAAGTCCTGGCCACAGCAGTCAGACAAGACAGAGGAATTAAAAGCATACATATCAGAAAGGAAGAAGTAGACTCTCACTATTTGCAGAGGATGTGATGCCATATATAGAAAACCTGAGGACTCCACCAAAGAAACAAAAACAAAAATGATTAGAACCAATCAATAAATTCACTAAGGTTGCAGGATAGAAAACCAGAAACCTGTTGCATTTCTATTCAGCAATAATGAATAATCAGAAGGAGAAAATTTAAAAACTTCATTTACAAGTTTACCCACAAAGTATAAAATACCTAGGAATAAATTTAACCAAAGAGGTAAAAGACCTAGAGTCTGAAAACTATAAGACACTGAAGACAGAAATTGAAGAGGATACAAATAAATAGAATGATAGGGTATACATGCTCATGGGTTGGAAGGATTAACATTGTTAAAATGTCCTTACTGCCTAAAGCAATATCCACATTCAATGCAATCCCTATTAAAACACCAATGGCCTTCTTCTCAGAAGTAGAACAACAAATTCTAAAATTTATAGGGAACCACAAAAGACCCGAATAAGCAAAGAAATCTTGAGAAAGAACAAAGCTGGGGTAACACCCTCCCTGATATAAACTATATTACAAGGCTACATGAATAAAAACAGCATGGGACTGACATGGAAACAGACACATAGTTCAATGGGACAAAACAGAAAGCCTAGAAATGAACTCTCACTCATATGGTCAATTAATCTGTGACAAAAGAGGCAAGAATATATGACGTGGTAAAGACAGTCTCTTCAAAATGGTGTTGGGAACACTGGACAGATACATGCAAAAGAACGTTACTGGATCACTTTCTTACACCTTATACAAGAATGAACACAAAATGGATTAAGGATATAAATGTGAGACCCGAAACTATAAAACTAGAAGAAAACAAGAGGGAGAACCAAGATGGCGGCATAGGTTAACGCCGGAGTTTGCTGCCTTGAACAACTACTTCAAAAGTGAAACTAAAACACGGAACGGACATCACCCAGAACCAAAGGAACGCTGACTGAGTGGAAGTCCTACAACTAGGAGGAAAGAGAAACGCATACGAACACTCAGAGGAGGCGCAGTGCTGAAGTCAAATTCTGAGGTGCGGAGTGCGCGGAGCGGGCTGGCGGCGGAGGGCGCCGTTGGCGTTTTCAATTGGGAGGGAGTCGCAGACTCTGAGCTCCAGATACGGGCGAGTCTTTAGGGACCCTGACTCAAATGGGAGAAGCAGGACTGTCTGGCTTCGGTCAGAGTGAGTGCAGCTTTCTCTCTGAGCTATGCAGAGGGTGCTGGGACTCAGAGAGGCAGAGCCCCTGGGGACAGGACTGAGAGCCGCCATAACTGC